TACGTAGTATAGTATTAGTATATATATATATATATATATATATATATATATATATATCTTCCCCCTTCAAAAGTTCCCTCAAGAAGAACCCCCCCCCCCATTCCCCCTCCCTGAATCCCACCATCCGTGGAGAAGCCTTTGATCTCTCATCTCTTTGATTTCTGTCTCTTTTTCAATTCTCCACCCCAGCCCAAAAAAAAAAAAGACTTGATGCATTTACTCATCGCAACTCTCAAGGTAAGACATAGTAAGTCCGTAGGCATGTAAGCGAAGAGGATGACAAGGAGAGGGAAGAGGTGGTTTGTAAAAAGCTCCCGGAGCTTTCGCCAGAGCTCTGCGCTGGCTAGTCTGATATGCAAATTGCGGATATCACCTCGTCCCCGCATCAGATATTATATCATACGTAGAACATTACTTTCTCCGAGCACTCTTTACAGTTATAGTCGTAACCTGATGCGTAAATATCCCCCATCGGATCCGGATCTCAGCGCCTACGTCCTCACAACACAACATAACTGAGTTCTGAAACAACTGATTAAACCCCCGTTCCCCGGAGCTTGCCTCTCCTCTCTATTCATCGTCCATAATCCGGCGCTCGTAACGGCAATTGCCTGTCCAGCGTGTTGAAGGCTAGCGTCCGAGGCGTGTAGGGCACTGCAGGCTGCCTCGGTACGTTCTTCATCTCCCACTCCCTCTCGGAGGCGTTGTCCGGGTCGGGCGAGTCCTTCGTCATCTGCATGTCGTCGACTTCCATACTCCGAGCGGCTCGCTCCGCGGCGGAGGGGACCATGCTGTGGATGCTGAGGGCGAGGTGGAGGAGGAAGATGACCCTGTTCTTTGCATCAGCTTTCGCTTCTCAATTGCATTCCCAATGAACCATTGAGGTGGTTTAGATTTCTGAGATGGGAGACTTAGATTGAGGGTGCGACCTACAGCATGATCACGGTAACGGCAAACGCCCCCTTCGCCAACTCGCAGTTGTGGTAATTCCCGCTCGGCCTTGCCACTGAGCAGCTCTTGGTGACGTACCACGCGACGTCGGAGCGCTGGCGCGGGTCCGAGTGGTCGGGTCCCATCTGGCCGTACATGCTCACCGCCCACAGAGCGACGATGATGGCGTTGGTGACGGAGCTGAGCAGCGGGTACCAGACGTGAATGACGAACATGACGGACTTGACGATGAGGACGAAGGTGCAGAGGACGGAGATAACCACGTTATAGTCGGTGATGCTGCGGCAGTGTTGTCAGCTTCTGGGAAGTTCCAGTTCCACTTGGGTTAAGGCGATCAGCTATATGCTGATATGACAGCACCATCTCATACTGTTTCCATCCCATCCCATCCCACCCATGTTCCCAACCCGGGATCTCAATGTAAGAAAATTCGAGAAAAACCGCTCACGTACGTTTGACTCCATATGAACGGCGTCTTGGGAATCGGTCGGTGGTTCGCATAGGCGTACAGGATCTGCTTGGGGCTGCTGTTATAGCCCAAGTCATAGCCCAACTGCCAGAGCTTGGTGCGGTACAGGTCCGGCTGCGCGATGGCGAACAGCACCAGCACGGCGACAGTGCCGGCGAGCTCGAACGCCGTCAAGGCGATGAGCACCCAGGGGTACTTCCAGCGCCGGGAGATGAGGAGGCGGGGCATCTTCATCTTGATCTTGATCTTGGACATGGCGGGTTCGGCGTCTGTTTGTCTTTTTGAATCGCTGGTTCAGATGTATATCGACGTCGTGCCGTCGTCGTTTCGCACCTTCACATCGGAGAAGGATATCGCAGGGAGCAGTAATCAAACAGCAAGTCGGAACAGCAGCCAGACCATATCCATTCTTCAAGATCAAAGATCCAGGGCGAGGGAGGTAGCCAGACGACATCTTGCTGACGTTGCCGTTGCCGTTGCCGTTGCCGCCAATGATAAAGTGGTCGGCGCTTACATGCATCAATCATCAATCGGCCGGCCCAATGAGGCGTGGCAGAAGTGGTATGCACGTGATCCGGGCTTTAGCGAGCCAGTAGGGGGAATTGTGCTGCTGGTGTATCACAGGAGGTGAAGGGTCGCAGGTCGCAGGTTGCAGGTTGCAGGTTGCAGGTTGCTGCATGGCCGGCCGCATCGATCGTGTCTGTCGCTACGAGAGAGAACAGACTTCGTCACTTTACCACCGACGACTGTCGATAAACCCAGCCTCGGAAAACAATTCATTGGCCCAAGTCCCCCATATTCTAGATCTGGGATCGCGATGGAAAAGCTTCTTCGACGCCCCGTGGCTGCTGCTGGAGGACGTAGGTACGTACGACGCCAGGAAGGAGGCTATCATCTCACGCTGACGGGATTGCTTACTTACCTGCCAACCGCAGCGTGAGATGTCTATGATATCAGCCCTCGCACTATACGATGCCTACGTATCATCCTCTGAATCCATCAGTGTCGCTTACTTTATTTACCTACCTTCCGTAACATCGGCCTCCCTTCTTCACCCAACCTCACCCCTCCATAGGACAATGCAGGCCTGAAAGACTTTCGGTTTTCTCAATATGGCCCTTCCCCATGCACCAAATCCCCAGCGCCGGGTCGCTCCTCGCTGGCAGTGGTATATCCCAAATCAAATTTCATATGCATCATACAAGAATGTCCGTAACGCCCCCTCGTAAGTAAGAATCTCCTCCCGTCTGTGACCCAAATGCGAACCTGTCTGTATTAATTGTCTCGCCGAGGCCCTGGCACCACTTCTCTATTAAGCGTGGCCGACGGCATCATACGCGCCGTCAACATCGACATTAATGATGCCTTGCTGTTGAGCACCAATTCATCAATCTTCGGAATAAGCTCCGGCATACGGAAGGGTTTGGACACCAGATTGTCCTACACTAGTTAGACTTGGTGCCCTCCAAAGATCTTGCATCTTGTCAGAGGGAGCTGAACAGGCTGAACGTACCATTCCGGCAGCCATCGCCATCTCAATCTGCTCCAATCTCGCATTAGCCGTAACTGCAATGATGGGCACATGCCGCACGATCGTGCCATCCGCTTCAAACTCCCTGATCATTCTTGCACATGTCAGTCCATCCATGATTGGCATCTCTAGATCCATCAAGATCACCGCCAAATCAATGCCGTTCTCGACGCCCGACCAGAAATTTGATGTCCTGAGGATATCGAGGGCTTCGCCGCCGTGGTTAGCAACTTCTGTCATGTAACCTCGATTGCGGAGTTGCTTCTGTAACACCTTTTGATTGACGAGGTTATCTTCGACGATGAGGACCTTGATTTTGGTGTGGTCAATGGGGGTTTTGGAGGGCGATGAGGCTGGTGGGTAAGTGACCGTTACGGCGCGCTTGTTATCATGAGTGGTACCAGGACGGTGGATTGCTCTCCCGGACAAAGTTTTCCGGCTTTCGATGGTCAATGATGAGCTCGAGGAGTCCCTCGGCAGAGAATTTATGGTAGTAGCAATTGGCGTGTCTTCGGAGAAGCTTTCGGCTTTGCGGGCCTTGATGTAGAACGCAAATGTACTGCCGACGCCTCTTTTGGAGGCAACTCCAATCTCCCCTCCTTGTAGTTCCGCAAGCTCCCTAGAGATGAACAATCCAAGCCCGGAGCCACCATATTGGACGTGAGTACGCGGAGATGCCTGACTGAACCTTTGGAATAGCAGAGTCTTTTCCTTTTCATCAAGTCCACGGCCTGTGTCTTGTACCGCGAATTGAAGGTAGATCTCGTCGCCAGTTCCCCATTCCGGGTCTTCTGTCATGAGATCTTTCCGCTTCAAACGGCTGGGAAAGTAGGAAACTCCCGAGTTGGCAGCTAGTGGACGTTCTCCACTTGCGCCCACGCTGACAACAATCGTGCGATTTTCCTGCTCGCGTGTGAATTTGATCGCATTGGTGGTCAGGTTAATGAGAACTTGCAACAGGCGCGATGGATCTAGGTTGACCCAATCGACTTTCAGGTCGAGGTACGACTTCTCCACGCGGAACTTCATCGCAATAGTATTCGTTTCCAATTCTCCTTCGAACATCTTGAGTGCTCTTTGAACGACGGCAACGGGCTGGACCGCGACAGGTGTTACCACCAGCAGGGCCGAGTCAAGTTTCGAAAGGGTCAAGATATCGTCAACAATCCGTTTTTGATGCTGAGCACACAGCAAAATTGTCTGGGCAGCATCAATGCTGCCTTCCAGTATTCTTGTCAGTCGTTGAGGGGACCTCGAAATATCATCGGCAGTCTTGAGTTCGAGGAGAGACGTTGCTATCTCGTCACTGCATTGCAAAATAGCGCTCAGTGGGTTCCTAACCTTGTCGATTGTTAGCACAGTTGCACGTGGTCTTAGCGCAGTCCTGGCGCTATTAAAGATGGACTCTGAAGTTGTAGCCAGACTAGAAAAAGAATCGAAGAATCCGTTCAACAAACCTCATGTGACACCATATCCACGAAATTCTCCTGTTGTCTCTTGAGCTCAATAGCTTCTTCCATTCTGCGCTTCTGGAAATCTTCGGCCCACTTCTGTTGACTGATGTTTGTTATGCTACCAAAGACGCTTTTCAGCATGCCTTGAGGGTCTCTTTCGGGATAAGCGCTCATGAGAACCCAGGTTTCGCCACGGTTCCCGTTTCGGTCGTGCCAAGGATTTTTGAATCGAAACTCAAGGGTAACAACACTCTTCTTGTTCTTATTGACTAAATCCTTCCAAGCTGCCTCGACTCCTGGGCGGTCCTCGTCTTTAATGCTGTCCATCCAGACATTGGCACTGTTGACTCCTCTCGGATGTCTTGATATCTCCCACCAGGTATCGTTACTGTAGGTTATTGCACCGGATTCATCAGCAATGAACATGCCAACAGGCGCAAACTCCGCCATCCGAGTGAATCTCGTCTCGCTTTCCACAGCCTCTTTCGTCCTCAAATCAAGCTGCTTCGAAAGTTCCTGTCGATCGATTGCAGCAAGCTGCGCGGCCCTCTGACCTCTGCGGATTTCTTCTTCAAACAGAACAACGGATGCCATAGAGGTAGCAAGTTGACGGCTCAGCAGTTGAATGAACAAGCTGTAATCATCGTCGTAAGGCCGTCTTGGATTAACGCCCATCACTAGAAATCCGAGGATAGTTTCGCTAGTGGTATGGATAGGGCAGACAACTGCAGCCCTACACGGATCTCCGAAACCACGCCATTCGAGGCCCTCGATGAGATCGGCGGATAGAGTGCCGTCTTCTGTTGTCAGAACAATCGCCTGTTTGGAATTCATCGACTCCCGGAGATGCGGGGCAAAGCTGTCGTCGCTTGCCCTGAGATCAATTGGACTGACCGCCGCCTTGTGGTCTCGAGGTACACCGAGAGTACCCTCTAGGATGCATTGTGGTGCTGTGGATAGCGTGGATAGTGTGTTAAGAGATCCAGAGTGCATTGAGCTCAGATCACTGTCGAGGTCCTCACTCACAGAATAGAGAAATACGAACGGAACATCATACTCTTGGAAAACATCAGTGGCGGTCTACTAAGAATAGGAGACTGGGTATTACCGTTGTACTCTAGACCTTGAATGACTTGGCCCCAGAAGCTCTTGACTTCACGAGCAGTTGCCGTTTTCTCTCCAACCTCCCTCAGGGTTAACATTCGCCTCTCGGCAATCTTTCTTCTTGTTTTTTCAAAAGCGGGATTGTAAAGTCCGACGACTGATCCATCTTCCCCAATCAGAGGGATGATCGACCACGAAAAATATGTTTCTTCGAGGAATCCATTCCTCTTGACGAACAAGCAGTCATCGTCTTTCATCGTCGATTGGCCGGAGTTCTTGGCATTATCAAAAACAGCTTCGATTTCAGGCCAAATTTCAACCCACGCAGTCTTGTAGCTTTGACCCTACAGGGTCATTAGTCATGCGGAGGTTTTTGAGAAACTGGAAGTTTTACCATCAGACACGGGTGTTTTTGGCCAGCCAAGAGTATGTAGGCCTGTTTTACTTGATTAGCTACTTCTCTAGCTGTTCAATTCAAGATGTTACCTCATTGTAGATAGCGATATTTTCATCACCCCAATACATTGCTGCAGGATGTGGAGACCCCATAATACTAGCAATAAAGTGTTAGAATACCACAGCAGAAGACAGGTGGAAGGCTGGAGGGAGGTCTCCATAGATAAGAAGTTCGGAGTCTGCCAGGGTCGAGAATCCTCAAAGATAGCAGGAATGAAAAGGGATACCATACAGGTTACACATAGCTCTCAAATCGGGCGCCCAGCCTTCGATGGGCCCAAGAGCTGTAGATGCCCAATCAATGGAGCGAGCAAATTGTATGTGCCTTGGAAGAGCGGCGGAAATAGGAAGTCTTGTCCAGTCAAAGGAGGAGCCTTCGGAATAACGCATCGTTGTACCTGTTAAGATCTCGTTTTGATATGCTAGCATGGCTTGCTTCGGTACAACGCCTTCAAGGTCTTCAACTGAGGGTATTGGGCTCGGCGGATCTTGCTGGGATGAGAGGCATGGGGGCATGGGGGGAGCCGTTGCGGCGTCGCCAAAATAGTCCGATGCCTCTGTCGAATGTACAAGAGGGGAGCGTGCCAATTGGGTGACTATGGACCCGCGGAAACGGTCACCCACGGTAGAGGAACTGCTTAATGGCCCGTTTGAGCTACTGCCGGAAAGGCCTGTAGCATTGATAGTATTACTGCTTCCACTGATGAGTCGCAGTCGCTTCTTTAACGTGGAACAGCTCCAGACAAAGCCTCCGTACTTCATGGATGGAAGACAAACATCCAGACTTTCCCCATTTCTGACATAGCTTAAAGCCCAGCCCTTGAACTCGGGGAAGTCGTTTGTAACCGCAATGCCAGGACTATCCAGATCCGCGTTACCAGTGACCATTTCCAGCACCGATTCATAGGCCCGAAGCGACGCATTGGCGAAGACGATTTGTAAAGGGCCGCCAGGAACAAAGTTCGCCGAGTTTGACAAGTCAATTATGAGTGTCGGCCTTTCATCTTGCTCAAGAAGCTCAACGACTCCCACGCTTTCCAATGTCTGCATTCCAGGGGAAGCTTTGTTATTCACGTCACCACTTTGTGAAAAGCCACCTCGCTCAATAGATGCGAGGTTCCCAGTGGTGCCTGCAGCCCTAGGTGGGCTAGAATTGATGTTCCCCCGGGCAAGTTTTAACGTAGTAAACACTCTTGGCTCATCTCGTGTCCGCATCATCTTTGCTGCAGCTTCTGCTCCGAAGTTAAAGGGAGGGGGCACCGGTCGCCTTCTTGGTGGATGCGAGAAGAAGAGAGGAGAGAGCGGGGAACCCCTTTGCTGCCTTGAAGAAACTACAGCCTGGACGCTTCCTGTGTTGAGAGTATATTGACGTTCGTTCGCGTTCGACCTGTTTCTCTTGGGTGGCCTCTCGGTCGACGGTGGCCTTGCACCTGTATCTTCCGCTCTAGGATGTTTCGTAGCATGGGGTAACCGCAGTATTGGCAGGCGATTCTGGGTATCTCGAATTCGGCAGGAGGTTTGGGGATGTGATCTCGGCGCAGTCGTAGTAGATGTGGTAGTATCTTGTGCACCGACAAGAGATGGGGGGTAGCTTTGCCACGAGAGTCGACCTTTCGGTGTAGTTGCTTCCGCAGATTCTGTCTCTCCAACATCCAATGCGCTCCCTTCTTCTCTTCTCTTGTCGAATGTGGAGGGCGGAGAGACAAATGCGAGTGACTGGCTGCCAAAGTCGTTTGGTGAAGAGAAGATGGACCTGGGCTCTTCCTTCATGAATATCGACTTGAGCCGCGCGCTCGAAACGTGGTCGTGTTTAGGAGGCTAGGTTACGCCTGAACCTCTTCCGAGGCACTTACCTACTTACTTAGTTGTGGGTTAGTTGCACAGCAGACAAAAGATCAGGAATTGTTCATCGCATGGCTGCAGCAGGAATTCAAGTGATAATAAAGATGTAGCTAGCTGCGGTGTAGTGCTGATGGATAAGTTCTTGATAGCGGAGTTCAGTAAAGACCTACGGACTCTTAAAAGTTGAGTAGGTAGCTCATCGAGGTGTGGGGCATGATCGTGAATTCAACTGGCACTCCTCTATTAAGACTTTTGCGGTCCCACTTTTGCGGCTGCGGGCACCTTATCTCTACCGGCACTTACAGACCAAGTGCCAAGCGAGGAGCATGGCAGCCTATTTGTTTACTTATAGTGATTATTTACACTTACGGAGTACAGACATATTCGTTTCCCCTTGTCGCCTCTAGATTTCAGAAGTAACCGGTGCTCAAAGGCCACTTCGGGCTTGACATTGCAAGGATTCGAGTCCGGAGGTCTCTCCGTTTTCTTCAAAGAAGCCAAACCTTGGTACCTATCATTGCCAGTCGATTGTACCACTTACCATCTCAGGCACCCCTGGCCCCCGGCTACCAGTAGGCAAATAAACCACTCCCGGTGCCTATCTCGGTATCCAGTAAAATGCTACTGTAGGTACATGCATCGTGAAAGCCCCCTGCGTCGATGTAGACGGATACCGCACCGACATTGGTGTCTCTGACATCCTTGGTTAAAAGTCGCCGAGATTCTACTTGCTGCGTTCGTTATGCCTCGGATTTCGCTGCTTTGGAAATGTTATTCTTCCCACTGCCTTCCCGACTTTTAGTATCGTGTAGCTCGTATTGCAGCAGCAGCCTTTGGCCATTTCCTGGAACCTAATAGTGGGGCTTGTTGCCGCAACTCTACCTTAGGGAGTAGGGACCCTTTCCCTCTTAAGGTTGCGGCAACAAGCCCCACTATTACGAAGTAAATGCGCCAGGAAAAAGAGACGTACCGTCGAAATCATCTTCAGAAATCTCCACCTCTAGCGTCGCACACTGGCTACTCTCCCTTTACTCGGTACAGCCAATACAGAGGACATGTTTCGATATCAGTTCGCAGCCGCGACCAAGAGGGAAACGGGAGCCATGTAAGCGCACAGCGCCATGTTTATACCACATGTTGAGACGTTGTATATCTTCGCAAATCAGTTCATTCCACCTTCTTCCGACCTCCCGCTAAAAGTCAACAAACAAAGCCTGATAAAACATGTCTAAACGGCGCAGCAAGAGAAACACGTCCCCAGTCGAACCCCACTCAGCAAATCAACATACGAAACCCTGGCAATCTCGATCCTGAACAGAAACATGGAGAGAGAGAGAGAAAGGGGAGAAAAATCAAGGGGGAGGGGGGGATTGGATAATAAAGGGGAGCGGCAGCCGGTAACCAGGGGGCTCGCTAAACCTAGGGTACTCATTCGAGCTATGCTCGACTTGCAGCCTCCATACCTACCTAGTACTTACCTACCCACCTATCTATCTGATTTAGATCCCGCGACCTACGGCTCTTCATGCCTAGTAGTACAACAACCATTGCAACCGAAAAAGCCAAAGACGCCCGCGAGATTGTCGTCTGCACGAGGCCGAGTAAGCAACTAACCAACCAACCATCTCCCCTTCAAAAAAAGAATGAAAGGCAGCAGCACCACATCGGCGGATAGAAGTCCATGAAACACCGTGCCCATCTAACCATCCTCGGTTCCGACCTCAGGGGAGCTCGGACTCCCATTAAAAGTCATCCAGATACTCTCACGACCCCAAGCTCGTGAGAGTATGGAAGCCATAGATAGATAGCTACGAAAAGGATTCTGAAAATGCGAAGGGAAAAAAGCGGCTGGCGACGAGGGGTCTGGTATGGGATCTGGCGTTCGAATGACATACCGTATGGAAATGAGATAGATATGCCAGGGAGGAGGATGAAGAGGAAGCTTACCAACCCCCATCTCCTACAAGAAGATAGCGCTGTCACGGCGGATCTAGTCAAGTCTGCGTCAATATGGCAGAAGATATAGTTGGAGAGCTGACGGAGCAGCGAAAGAGATGCAATTCGAATACGCTCTGGTCGGGTTCGACAGAGCCTTCCAGCCGTGGTCCATTGCCAGAGTTCACAACTCACATTCTCCCTTTGAACAGCCGTCCGTCTGCCCTATCACCCCCTTCGAGTCACGCAACATTCTTCTCCAACCACTGCTCCCACTGCTCCACCGTAAAGCTCGAGGAAATCCCATTCTCAACAACCCCGTCAAACACGACCGTCGGCGTGACATGAATGCCCACGAGCCTATTCATCTTGACCAGCACCTTCAGGTCATTCGTGACCCCGTTGCCCGAATTCAGGCTGCCATCCTCACCCGGCTTATCCGAGATGTGAAGCAGCTTGTACATCTCCTTCTCATCGACACCAACACTGGCCCCAATCTTGGCAAGCCGCTCATACGTCTTGTTGCGGGGCTCGTTGACGATGTTGACATCGTAGAACGACTCTGCGTCGTCAAAAAGTGCCTGTATTCTATCCCATGAACAACAAGTTCCCTTGTACCGGCGCAAGTACATTTACGGGATGAGTAAGGGGACACGTGCCTTGCTGAACTCAAAGAACTTGTCCGGTTGGACCTTGAGCACCGTGACCCCGGCTTCGTGAACCAGAGTCGAGGAAGGGTGCCAGGGCTGGATCTGCTGCCTGAACAGGATCTGCACTTTGGAGGCGTAATTCTTGCTGATCAGGGGGAAGATGGAGGTATAGACCGTGTTGAACATCTTGGCTGAGAAGGGGCAGACATAGTCGAGGTAGATTTCTAATGTATGAAGCGTTGGGGATTTGGTTGCTGCGAACTTTTGTCCGGCGAATCTGGGTGCGAGTGCCATGGCGAAGCTCTGTCGTGAGGATGGGACTGGATGAGTCTTGAAAATAGTGCTGATCAGTGATTAGTGTTTTACTCAATGCAGGAGAGGGGGATTTGCAACAGTAATCATCCGATGACGTTATCCTACCACGTGATACAACATAGTCTTCTAAAGAAGGGAAAGGAGACGGTGGTAGAAGAGGTAGTTGTTGTATCGTGTTTACTGTCTTTCGCTTGAGTACAATGATGTTCAGTATTAGAGGAACAGCCGACAAGCTACCGTTGAGTTTGAACCTATTACATGTATCGGGCCCTGGTGCTCTCTCATCTGTTTGGTATGTGCATTACAAGCAATAGAACAGAACCAAATCTCCCAGGACGTCGCAAGTTCTGATCTTCGTAACTATGTATGTACAGCAGGACCCTTTCGTGGGTAGGGTAAACGCCTGAAAAATGCCAATTTGGTATTCAGCCCACCCAAGGACGCCATATCCAATATACACTAGAAAGTACGCGATTGGAATCATGTTCAAGAAAATAGAAACTCCTTGAGAACAGGAGATCCAGAAAACTCGGGGTTCAGCAGGATGCAGCTACACCAATTAGCCCCCGCCCAATCTTTTCAAACGATCAGTGCACCCACTTGAGAAAGTATTGTAAGCCACTCCTTCGATTCTCGAGGAACTTCGGCCGGAACTTGGATATCACACTCTTTGGAGGCAGCGGAGGCATCGCAGCTTTCGAGTTGGGAAACGTCTGAAGTAATTTGTCTCTTAGATCATCGAACTCTGAGAATCGCTTTCGAATGCGCATCGAACCACCCTTCGAGCTTCAATCAGCAGAGGCCTCAAGAACCCTGGCGCAGAGAACTCACTTGTAGAGTATCAACGTTGATGTTCCAGACCACGAATGCGCCTATATTTGTCCGACTCGCATTAACTATTACATAGTCTTGAATGTACACGCTTCTCGCCCAGCACGCTTTGTTCTTTGGGTCCCCCTCATCAGTATTATCCTGCAGCGTAATCGCGCCAGCTTGTATTGGCTCGACCGAGATATTGGAGAACGATCTCGGGTGCGTCAGGACCCAGTACGGGGGCGAGGTTACAGGAGAAGCGTCGACGACGAGGTCCAGGTCTGGGTCTGGGTCTGGGTCTGGCGGGGACGTAGTCGTCATGGTACTGAGGCCGGGCTTGTGCGCGCCGGCAAGCGGCTTACTGTTGTTGTTGTTGCTGACATTGCTATTGCCATTGCCATTGCCATTGCCATTGCTCTCGCCCGAACGTGGGTCAGAGGTGGCCTCCATCCATGCCAGAGGATGGCGAGCCTGGACTGGAGTGTTTGCGAATTGGTGCACGGGGATGGTGGAGCCAGGAGGTTTGATGTTCACAACTTGGATGTTCAGCCAGAAAGGAGCCGCGGCAGATCCTATTCAGCCTCCTTTGTTTGCCGAGCCGAACAAGCCTCCTTCCTTTAAGAGACCCCAATCAAAACAAGGGAAGCCGGCGAAAGAGAGATGTGATGACGCACAAGCAACAAAAAAAAACACACACACACATTGATTCGGATGAAGACTGCGGGCGATATCACATCGCTTGCTATACTATGAAGAATTCCATTCCGATCATCTTCTCTATGTCTGATGCAGTTTAGAAAAGTTTGTATACGAAGTGCTTTGCAGATCTTGAACACACCTTCTGCTGTCTAAGCTCCACGTAGCGAATAGATTGTCCAGCGGGTCCAGCGGGTCCTACGGAGGACTTACTACTCCAATTTCGGCTACGCCTAAAGCCTCCCTTCCCTCCCTTCCCTTCCCTTCCCTTCCCTCCCTCCTTCCACTCACTTATCAGGAGTTCGCGGACGCGGCACGCGGGACCCAGACCCAGACGCGGACGCGGACGCGGACGCAGACCCGGACCGGACGCGACGCGAAAACAAGCAACAAAGGCAGAAGGGAGAGGTTTCCGCAATTCCTCCACATGCATCACATTCGCACATTCATGCCATGCCTTGTCCCAGCCTCAGATAATGCAACTGAAGACGTGCATATACTACGTACTACTACGTACGTACTACGTACTACTGTACCGAGTACTCCGTACAGCCGGCCTTTGACTTTTCTTTATCGTGAGGCAAGGCTTTCAAGGCTTTCAAGGCTTCCAAGTGCTTCCAAGGACCCTCGCTCAAACCTCCGGTTGGCTGGCCAGAGACGGCTAAGCAAATAGTGCAGTCAAATCACTCAATCGCGACTGCTTATCTCGACCATGGCTGGCCTGGTCCGTGCGGAAGATGCCAAGTTGCCAGCCATCCTAAAAGACCTCCTGCCCTCCTCCTCCTCCTCCTCGTCCTCGCCCGTGTTTCCATCCAGCCATCGATTTACCATTCGCTTGTATCGCTCAATTCGAAGCCTCAAACATCACACCAACATTGCCTGTTTGGATCTCATTCGCTTGATATCCGTCAACTTGTATATTTTACTAGAGGTGCAGTCCATTCCTCGGACGACTTTTTCCTGAAAGTTTGAATACTAACGGTGGGCACAGATAATCTGTCGAAGGGCTCAATTGCTCTCCGTACACCTGCAACTCTCTCGAAATGCCCTCGATCACCACCTTCGTTGCCATTCTGGCCACCGCTCTATTCTACGTGAGCGTCAGCTCGCAAGTCGTTTACTCCATCGATCCCGAGAGTGTCGATGAGACCACCCGGGCAGGCTGGTGTCAAGCTCAATTGAGCTCCTGCCCACTGTTGTGTCTGCAATTGCAAGGAGAGTCATCGACAACTGCAGACAACAGATGTGAAGCTGTAAGCTTCCTCCCTTCCGTTCTGTTACCTCTCGACAAGCGCTAACCAGAGCAGAGCGATCTTTCTTATTCGTGCATTTGCGGTAACGGCCTAACACCCAACCTCACCGAATACTCCCAAACACTTCCATACTTCACATGCACTGAATTCGGAAGCCAGTGCGTCGCAAACTGCAACGGCGACTCCCTCTGCCAAAGTGCTTGCAGAGCGGATCACCCCTGTGGAGCGCAGAATCCCGTCAAGGTCAACCTGTCAACTGTGACGACCGCATCTGCAACCAAGACGAACCTTCCAGCTGGTGCTACCAGTGGAGTAGCCGGGATTGTCTACAACGGGCTGGGAGGAGCAGCAACTACCCCTGCTTCGGACTCTTCGAATTCGCAATCCAACACCCAGCAGAGCGGTGCCGAGATCGCCTTGGGTCTCGGACACAGCTATGGCCTTGCCGTTATATTCGCTGGAGTCTTTGCCGGGTTTGCTCTGGTCTTGTAAGACAGATCAAGGCTGGAGTGTGAAATTTTTGCTTGTTTAGATACCCCTTATGGGCGGCACTGTCTCGACGACACTTGCATTGGCTATTAGCGATGATTTTAACATAGTTTGCATCAGCATTTCAGCGTGTTGCATGTTGCACAGAGCAGAGGGAATCGGCCTCTATTGCATGGATTAATGGAGAGTAATGAAGACGTCGACAAAGGGACGTACTATATATAATTGAAGGCTGCACAACCGCACTTGCGTACAGCAAGACATAATACCAGCAAATTTCGCAGACCTCACATGCTCCTTGACCCCCTCCTGTTGACACGGCAACTTTGGAAGTTCTCGAAGACGTTTAGCGGCAATAGCCGCTGCCGAGGGCGACATTTCCAACGGTGACCCTTGGATCCTCAGAAGTGAAGACCGTTCCTCCGCCGCGGAGGGTGAACGAGCGCGCATGTGGAAACTCACGCATAGCAAGAAAGCCGCATCTAGCGCTCACACTTCCTTCCACCCAAGAAAAGAGAATCACAGTAGGTAAGTAGTTAAGCCTTCCTCGGCGTGCGACTGCGATCTCTCCCCCCCCACGAATCCTTGCCACCTCAATTTCGACAATTAAAGTGCCTTTCCCTACGGACCCTACCCGATGACCCGCGACGATTTCCTCTAATTGAGAGCTCGCGTTGATGACCTAGATGTTGTGTCGGCCAGCAATCGAATCCTTTTCGCATACCCACCCACTCATAATCAGTCGCGAAAGTCGGAGCGTGATCCGACTGACCTCTTCTAAAAATTCGGCCTCTTGATCTCCTTGCGGTGAAGGCAGCTGAGCCTGACAACCTTCTACCGCCTCCCGTCACCACCCCCAAGTCTCCAATGACGCCCAGCAAGAGTACGTTACGTCCCATTGTAGGGCGCCGCGGATTAGGGCGGGACACTTGCTGACGTTTTTCCGACGGGATAGAACAGGCGGCACACGAGTGCGTTTCTGAGGAGGCGCTGGTGCATCTCAAGTCCTACAAGTACTCGAGCGTCGACAAGTCTCTGATCTCGAATTACATCCTGAAACACTATGTATTTACGCTCCAGCTCCACTCCACTCCTGTGACGCGCGGAAGAACATTTCTGAGAAAACCTACAGTGGAATGCATTTGTGGAACTTCTGCCACTATGGCTTGCACCGAATATGGTCACATTGCTGGGATTCTTCTGTATCCTGACGAATGTGATCTGCTTGGTGATATGGATGCCGGACTTGGTCGGACCGGTATGTCGGGAATCCCCTAGACACGATAGCAGATGTGTGCTGATGCTGCTGCTAGGGACCCTCATGGCTGTACTATAGCTTTGCCTTCGGCCTCTGGATGTACTCGACAATGGACAATGTGGACGGAAAGCAAGCGCGTAGAACAGGCACATCGAGTGGCCTCGGGGAACTTTTCGACCACGGAATCGACTCGCTGAATTGCACCCTTGCCAGTTTGTGCGAGACGGCAGCCATGGGACTGGGCACCTCGAAAGCAGGAATCTTCACGTCGCTGATTCCCTGCCTGCCTATGTTCTTCTCGACCTGGGAGACCTATCATACCCACACACTATACCTCGGCGTCTTCAATGGACCTACCGAGGGTCTGATTTTGGCTTGCACCCTCATGATTCTCTCTGGATACTACGGCCCGGAAATCTGGACACATCGGATTACAGACCTAGTTGGACACCACTACTTCCTTGGATACCATGAGTTCTTCGGTACCTACTCAGTCAGGGATCTCTGGGTTCCCGTATTGGTCGTGTCCCTGTTTGGGGCACATCTGCCGTTTTGTGTGATTAACGTTGTCAAGGCACGCCGAAGAGACAATCTCCCGGTCATGCCAGTATTTCTGGAGTGGACGCCAATGGCAGTTTTCACATTCTCCATTGGAGCATGGCTATTCTCCCCCTACTCGACGTTGATGCCAGACAACCACCTCGTCTTGTTCTGTTTGACCATGTCCTTTGTCTTCGGCCGAATGACTACCAAGATTATTCTGGCACATCTCACCCGACAACCATTCCCATATTGGACCGTCATGTTGACCCCCCTGGTCGGCGGAGCTATCTTGGGCAACCTGCCTCGAATCGGCCTACCCCAAGTGAGCTCCAATGTCGAGCTTTGGTACCTACGGGGCTACCTCGTTTTTGCCCTGGTCGTCTACTTCCGTTGGGCATTCCTAGTCATCAACAGTATCTGCAACTACTTGGGCATCAACTGCTTGACAATTCCTTCCAAAAAGCTCGCTGCCAATCAAGAGAAACCGAAGGCTGGGAACGGAAACGCTAAGACCACTGATGGACATGGCAACGACAAGAGAGTGGATTAAGGCCGAAAGTCCGGCAACTATATTATTGAGAGATTCTTGAGAAGAGAGACTAGTCAAATGCCGTGGAATGGTAAGGTTCAGCTGCCCGCATGCATTCACGACCATTATGATTCTGGGAGGCTGCACCACTCGTACGGATACTCTCTTGCCTGGCTGAATGCTAGACCGGGCTTATTGAGGAAGAACGGTTGAGGTAGAGGGAGACTTGGGAGATTGTCGGCATCACAGCATTGGATAGGCGTTGCAAAGATGAGCGTGCGGGTTCTTATGGCATCTGTGTTGCATCTATTTAGCATAACCTATTTGGAGCTGGCAAAACATGAACATTACGAGACTCATGGCTGATCTTGCCCTACCAGCCGGCCGGCCAGCCACCGAGACCAACTCTCACCTGACAGGGGACTGACTATGAGAGTTGTGACAGCGCACGAAGTCAGAGTAACACCGCCCAGGCGAGCGATTTGAGGATCATTGGCAGCCGCGTCGAAGGTCTAGAATCCTATTCACACGAGTCACCGGTAGCTTCTCTCCCTTCCCCGGTCCCCATCGAAACACCAAGCTTTCTACGGGCAGTGGGTCTACGTAGACATCCGAGCCCACGCGAATACGCATCCCTCTAAGAAACTCTCTTCGTCGAGACGCGCAATCCGTGCCACTTGGAATATACGTAGTACGTACCGGTACTTACTGTACCGGTACACTCATCCATCCAGCCTTAGGTAGGAATTGCCGTCTCTCATACATAGGTACCGGTACATCGAGAGGCGATTGCTGCTGCTACTGCAGAACATGCTACGAGTCATGCCACCAGCCACGAAACTACTAGGTAGTAGAGAATCGCGGACGGGCACTTTCTGCTCGTGGAATGTTCTGTGCAGACGGGAGTTTTGTACTTAATTTTTAAAAATAGACCAAGCTATGCTTCCTTCTTACTGTACTGTCAAAGGATCCTCGGAGCCTCCGGAGCTGGAAATCTTATTTCCCCGCCATCAATTCAGCCACTACTTAAGTATAGATACGTGCACTTGGCATCGCATCGTATCCCCCGCACGATATGTCGCTCCTCAAGACCCCTCCAAAAGCACTCGATGAGCGCACCAACGCAATTGCGAGTCTCCATTCTCCTTCAATGAGGACAAACAATGACAGAGAGGGGGAACTTAAATTCAATCACCGCTCTCACTCCGCAAGTAGTGGTCTATCGGAAGCGCGTTCGCCCAAGAAGCGCGATTCCAAATTCTCGGTTTGCACAGGGGGCTCGGTGAGGAGCCACCAGGAGTACTTGGACACGCTGGAGGTGCCGACCAGCGAGATGGTGGAGCGGATCACGGCAATTCAGGAGAGGAAGGAGGCGGAGATTAGGAAGAAGCGGGTGCCGAACGAGGGCGGGGAGGTTGGGGAGACAGATAGGGCGGAGAGGGAGAGGGCTGCGAATCTGATACAGAGGAGCTATCGCGGACATCGAGAACGCAGGATCATGGCTGGACTCTCCCTCGATCCGACGACGCGATGGCTCGAGGCGGTCAAGGAAGCGCAGTACCGGAACCTGACCACACCGCGGGCGAAGAGGGAGGTGCAGGAGACTACTGGGGAGGATGTTCAGGCGAGGAGTGTGCATAGTGGAGGGACCATCAACTACGCACGGCAGAACTGGAAGAAGATTGGTCTCATCACACGGAGGGCTGGGGGAGACGAGGAGTCCGATAGTGAGGGGAGTGGGGATGATGCAAATACGCCGGAGCATGAAAGGGAGGAGCGGAGGAAGCGGGAGATGGAGGCGAAGCTCAAGCGACGGCAGGCTGCAAAGATTATGGACCTGCAGTACTTCTTGGAAATGGTGGATGTCAAGCATCGATATGGGAGCAATCTGAGGATCTATCACGAGGAGTGGAAGAGGGCCGACACGAAAGAGAACTTCTTTTACTGGTTGGATTACGGGGAGGGGAGGTTTATTAACTGCCAGGGATGCCCGAGAGAGAGGCTGGACAGGGAACAAGTTAGATATCTGTCGAAAGAAGAGAGATTGGACTACTTGGTCAAGATTGACAAGGAGGGGAGGCTATGTTGGGCGAAGAATGGAGCCCGGATTGATACGACAGAGGAGTACAAGGACTCCATGAATGGAATCGTAAGTCCAAATTTTGTTCCGGCCGGCACTTCTGAAGCTGTTCTTCAACGTCGTACAGACCCCAAGCTGACTAGATTTCCAGGTCCCAGCCACGGAGAACGCACCCGTTTTTCGACCTGCCGATGCATTCAATAGCTTTCAGGACCACCCAAGTTTGTCGTCTTCCACGGAGTCTGAAGAGGAGATCGACAAACGGGCGGATAGATATGCCACCCCTGAAGTCGACAAGGCGAAAGGAGTGAAAAAAGTTTCCCGTATTTCCGCTGCAACTATTGTCGATAAGCTGCTTCGAGGCTCAGTCAAGAATAACACTTGGATCTTCGTCGCGGATACTTCTTTCCGGCTCTACGTTGGCATCAAGCAATCAGGTGCTTTCCAGCACTCCTCATTCTTGCACGGCTCTCGCATCTCCGCCGCCGGATCTATCACAATAAAAAATGGCCGGCTCTCTAAATTGAGCCCACTTAGTGGTCATTACAGACCACCTGTTTCAAACTTTAAAGCCTTTACCCACTCCTTGAAAGAGGCTGGCGTGGACATGAGCCATGTCTCGATATCTCGATCCTATGCAGTGCTCGTCGGATTGGAAGCCTATGTCAAGACACGGCGGCGAGGGAAAAGTTTGATGCAGAAGCTCATGCAAGGGAAAGACAAGATCCTCTCCCGTGAGGATCTGGCTGAGCGAGAAGAAGCACAACGGCACAAGAGGGAGAGTGCAGCCAAGGAGCAGAGACTCCCGGAACACAAGCGGGAAACCGACAAAGACAACCAAAATGCGAGGCTTTTGGAGAAGATGCACCTAACACATACGCAGGTACCTGACCCCGGGATGCGAGATGTAAGGGCGAACGGGGTAAAGGATTCTGATATTCAGGTTGCCAGGACAGGTCCGGAGAACGCTATTGCGTCTGAGGGGAGGAGGGATGCATAATGATTGATGAGAAAAGATGCACACTAGACGGCAGACGAGTTGATACCCTATATTAAATAATTTTTTAAATGTATAATAAGAACCCACTTGTTAAGAAGTAACACAATGTTTTCACCTGCAGCAAGAACTTTCCATAGTCCTATCACCATCGTCGTGACACCACTTTCAATCGTGAATAGGCGACTGCGGGAATTTCTTTTGAGCGCTGGATAATGACTAGCAAAGTGTCTTTGTCCTACAACGATGAAGCAATTCGGACATGTGCTTGTGAAGACGACTGATTGAAGCTGGCAAAACACTGTAAAGCGAACAGAGGAATTTGTACGCCAAACCGCTTTGTTACCCATCAGATAATTAAATCAAAGGCAATCCAATATTAGAGAATGCGATGAGCAATTGCTGCTAATACAGTCACCTCCTCGACCTCTCACCTTTTCCTGATATTCAATGCTGAAAGTCCCCTGTTCACGGTCCAGGCATGCCCCTCGCGGATCGCTAAAATGAGGCCCGACCGACGAGGACTGTGTTAGCCCCATCCCTTCTATTCCGCCTCGCAGTAAGAATGACCTGACTATCTCGATCAATGGCTTCGCATCTGACCCGGTCTCGCAATCGAGGTGAAGGCCTCACGACGAGATCCAGTGCGAAAATCAACATGGTCGCGTCCCCAAGACTGCAGCCGCAGCAGCAGTCCAAGTCCAACATCGGTCGCAAGAAGAAACGCCCCCGGGATCCCACCGAGAACGACGACGAGGACCCCTCGATCTCGATCGCGAAGAAGAAGGCACGCATTGCCATTGAGATTATTTCGCAGCCGCTTGCAAAGCCTCAGCCCAAGATCCGGCCGCTCATCGTCAGCAGCAGCAGCAGCAGCAGCAGCAGCAGCGGGACTGCGGACGAGCCCCCGGCTCAGCAACCCGCTGCACCATCACCCTCCTCACCATCACCCTCCTCACCACCAAAACAAAAGGAGACTGTCACGGCCGCCGCGGCCACGCAGACGGAAGCTGCAGCCCCTCCCGCCCCTCCGCCGCCCAAACCCAAACCTAAGAATCACCACGAGAAAGCCGTCAATGGGATCAGGCACGAGCTCGATCGGTTGCAGCCGAATGCTGCAGATCTCAAGGCAAAGGATGAAAAGCGCAAGCTGCGGTCCCAGGAGAGCACACGGTTCAAGAGCGAATTGTCGGCGTACTTTCCGGAATACGACGAAGTCATTGGAAATGAGCCGAAGGAGGAGCGTAAGTTTTCTCTCTCCGATCTTTAACAGCGGGAATTGGATTGGATCTAAATTAATTGTTGCAGATATTCTGGATCTGGATACCCCCATCATCATCTATGACAGCGCCAAGAGTTCGAAGCACCTCCCTCTACGAAGGCAAAACGAATACTCCCTAAAAGAATTTCCCGACTCTCTCTTCACAAGTCTGCACGCGGCACAGCGGGTCGATTTCTCGTGGCTTGATAAGAATTACAAGGAGGATGGTGGTGAGGATCCGTTGCACGACGCGTATTTTGAGTCCATGCACCGAAGACCGGAGCGTCAAGAGAAGACGATTCGAAATACAGACAAGTGCCGGGCTCAACATGAAAAGGACCAGGTTATACGCATCCTAGAAAGCCTACAAGGTCACGACTGGTTGAAGTTGATGGGCGTCAGTGGCGTCACGGAGAGCAAGAAGAAGGAATACGAGCCGGCACGCGACTACTTCATCAAAGGATGCGAAACTATCCTCGAAAAGTTCCGGATATGGCGAGAGGAGGAGAAGCGATTAAAGCTGGAGAAAGAGGCTGCAATGGCTGAGGCGGAAGAAGCAGCCGCGGAAGAGAAGAAAGAGGAAGCCAAGCAAGAGGATGGAACTATGAGCGACGGCGACCCTCCCGACTATTCGGACATCGATGCCTCCGCAGCTCGCCAACTGCACGAGGAAGCTGTGGCTCGCTCGGCACCTGTTGTAAGACATTCGGAGAGAAGGGCAAAGGTCGAGCTGATTCCACAAGGTGTCGGAGAGGTTGATCGAGAGTTTAAGTCGTTCTACAAGAATCCACACCTTCGAGAGGCAGCGATGGGAAAGCACAGACGCAGTGGCAGAAGCGCCATCGCATGGGGAGCTGCGATCCCAGAGTTTCCAGAAGCCGATTTTGTTTTGCCTGAGCAGTATCGGGATGAGGAGACGCTGAAGGCAGCTGCGAGGAGGAAGCGCAGGGACAAGAGGGTCAACAAATCATGATGCTATCTTAGGGAGGAAAGGGATGAAAATTCGGGAGGAGAACATGAGGGCTGAATCGAAAGTGCTTCGAAAATTCGGCACGGCTTGTTCGGTGTATAATTGGGTTTGGCGGGTCTGGTCTTTTCATGCATGGCGTTGACGCGGGGCTGGCTGCGGGATTCTTTAGGATTTTTGTATGATGTATCTCCTCATAGGATGGAGAAGTCTTTAAGAATCAAAAATTTACTTCAACAAAACTCGTTTTTTTTTTCTTGGGGTGCTTCGATCTTCATTCAATCTTGCCGGCTCGTTGTCAACTTCCCTTGATCGGCTGGAGAATATCCAACAAGGCTGACGAGGCTGAACTGCACCACACCCCGATGATCTACGACGATGCCGAGACCCTTGTACGTACGACCGCTGCGAGTTAGAAAGCTCCGCCGGCCACAAGGCCATGAATAATTCCCTTTTCCAGATCCCCCAAAAATTTCAGCAAGCTTCCAGGAACCACGAGAGTATTTGAAGAAGGTATAATAATAGTAATTCAGGCCGCTCTTTACCGGTGACTTTACAGAGGAGGACTCTGGCTTTCCGCTCCATTTTTGCTGGTTGGGGATTTCTGCCCAGTCACCTCACGCCCTCGTTCACCTTCAACTTTGCCATTGAATATTCCACAAACCGTTTATTCCCACTTGCTCTCCCACAAACGCAAACCTCAAAATTTGCGCCACAGTGTCGACCGTCGAAATTCTCACCAAACCACGAGCGTAACGAACCCGCAAGTCGACTTCGCAATAACGAGTTCGTAACCCTGGAGCCCTTTTCATTCACGGCTGTACATCTCCCACTCGCTCCCCGATCCGTAGAGAACCTCGCGCATACCATTTGGAGGAGGATAGAGCGAGGCGCGAGCTCTTGGGGACGGATGCGAGCTTCGTAGGAGGTGTATCGTCGCGCCGGGGCAGCTGGACTTGAACGAGCGCCGATTCCCACTCTACACACTGAGATCGCGCGCCGGGCTAGTTTATCGCCATGGACGCCCAAGGCCACCCTCTCGGCGAGATCGTTAAGCCAGAGCCTGATTATGGCTTTGAGGTGCCTCACCAGAAGGTCGACTTGGAGATCGACTTCTCGACCCAGAGCTTGACGGGCCGCTGCGAGATCGTAATCAGGCCGTTGCGGGGTGACCTCACGGAGGTCAGGTTGGATGCCCGCCAGTGTGTTATTGAGTCGGGTCAGGTCACGGTGAACGGAGTAGCGGCAGAGTTTGAGTACAGGGACCCGATGAAGTCTATGGACATCTCTGAGAGCATCCTCTGGGGGGTACACCAGGCCGACCTGCAGAAAGATAAACTCAAGCCGATGATTGGAGACACGAGATCGAAGGGCCCCTTGATTGTCAATCTTCCATTTGGCTGTGTCCGGCTGGAGGAAGTACCGCTAGACGCTCTTCCTGAGACGGGAGTAACTCCACTGGCACTCCGAGCTGTTGGCTCTTCTGGGATCCGAACCGCGTCCGTTACCCTCGATACGCCTCTCTCGGCCTTTCCAAAGGGAACGGTTGATATGAGTCCGAGATACGAGGCTTTGACCATCGTCATCAATTTCGCCATTCACCATTTCAGAGACGGTCTGCATTTTGTAGGCCTGACCGAGGGTGATGCACGCTATCCGCATGTCTACACGAGGCATTCTATGGATCCAGGCACTGCTTCTTGCATCTTCCCTTGTGTCGATGACTCGAGCATGCGGTCGATCTGGGAAGTCTCTATCAAATGCTCAAGAACCTTGGGGGATGCACTCAAGCGCCGTCCAGTACCCGCGCTTCGGGGCCACAAAAACCATTCTGTTAAGAAGGCCTTAACGAACGGCGTACTCGAGGATTACGAGGTTCCCCTCAGCGACGAGGAGAAGCTTTTGGAGCTGGTTGTGGTATGCACAGGTGAACTTACTAGCGAGACTACGGATCTGGAAGACAGCTCGAAGAAGATTATAACCTTCAGTGGCTCAAACCTTCTGGCCGCTCGCCACATCGGATTTGCGATTGGTCCCTTTGAACAGGTTGACTTGTCTCAGTTCCGGGAGGTGGAAGACGACGAGAAGCTTGGTCAAGGACAAACCATCCCCATCTACGCATACTGTCTCCCAGGCCGGGCTGACGAGGTTCGAAATACATGTGCTCCTCTGACGCACGCATTCGATTACATCCTCATGAATTTTGGCGGGTATGCATATCAAGAATGCCGATTTGTCTTTGTCGACGACCAGATCCAAGACACCGAACACGCCGCATCCTTATCTATCTGCAGTACTCGCCTGCTCTTCGCCGAAGGTATCATCGACCCCGAAATCGAGAATATTAGAATACTTGTCCATGCCATAGCTACGCAATGGTTTGGTGTCAATATTGTTCCCAGCCAGCCTTCGGATAGATGGGTCACGATCGGTCTGTCTCACTTCATCACTGGGCTCTTCATGAAGACTCTGTGTGGGAATAACGACTACGCATTTCGGCAGAAGACGCTGTCGGACAAATTGGTCGAGCAAGATTTCCAGAGACCCTCCCTTCATGCTCTTGGAGAAATCCTCGGCCTAGGCTCCTTCCAGTACGAGTTCATGAAGTTGAAGGCGCCACTCGTCATGTTCATCCTGGATAAGCGGCTGGTTAAAGCTTCTGGCTCTGCGGGTCTCGTGCGAATTATCAGCAAGATGGTCATGATAGCCAATACCGGAGATGCGAAAGAAAGCTTTGTTTCAACGGAAGGCTTCAGAAAATCTTGCGAGAAGGTCACCAAATACCGACAGACGGACAGTTTCTGGAAGGAATGGGTCTACGGCTCTGGGTGCCCACGGTTATCAATTACACAGAAATTTAACAAGAAACGTCTATGCGTCGAGTTGACTATCAGTCAGAAGCAAGACACTCTCCCTACCCAAAGAGAAATGCAGAAGGACTCTTTTCTAAGAGAACTCAAGGAAGTGGTTCATGATATCTACTCTCTCCCGGTTCAACCAGTATTTACTGGCCCCATGACGATCAGAATCCATGAGGCCGACGGTACACCATACGAACACATTGTTGAGATTCGGGAACTACACTCTAAGATCGAGATCCCCTACAACACCAAATACAAGCGCTTGAAGCGAACCCGGAAACAAAAGGAGCAACAGAACGCCATGGCTAATGCCGATCCGAACGCGGAAGGTGGCGAGGACACTCTTATCTACTGCCTCGGAGATACTATTCAAGGTCCGGATATGGAAGAATGGGGTGTGATCGAATGGGACGCCGAGAACCTCGCAAAGATGGAGCTGGAGTCCTACGAATGGATCCGTGTTGACGCAGACTTCGAATGGATTTGCGAGAAGCAATTCTCACAAATGCCTGCGTACATGTACGTGTCGCAGCTGCAGCAGGACCGAGACGTTGTTGCTCAGCAAGATTCAATGCTCTATCTCAAGAATATGCAGGCTCACAAGCTTGTGGCAACTTTCCTCACAAGAACTCTCATGGACACACGCTATTTCCATGGCATTCGTTCCATGGCAGCCGAAGCACTTAACATTCATGCAAGCCCCGCAGTCCAGTGGGTTGGCATGAAGCAACTCGAAAAGGCATATGTGGAATTCTACGCTTATGCTAAAGACAAGACGCCTCGGCCCAATGACTTCAGCGACAAGAGAGCCTACACAGTTGAGATGTCTATCATAAAGTCTCTAGCCAAGATTCGCGATAGTAACGGCAACTGTCCGAAGCAAAGCCGTCTATTCCTCATGGACATCTTGCGATTCAACGATAATTCAAACAATCAATTCTCCGATAACTTTAAGATCGCTACCTTGCTCTCTGCTCTCGCAGACTCGCTCATTCCACTGGAGGATGCGGACAACCTTGATATCTACGATGACGAGGAAGACATGGAACCTGTCGAATTCAAGAAGCAGGTTCTTGAAGAACTCGATCGGTACGCTCGCATGGACGAGTGGATCAATTCCTACCAGAACTGTTTCACGGTTACGGTCTTGGACTGCAAGCAACGTCTCATGCAGGCTAAAGTCATACCCACGGACGCAGTGGAGTTCGTGCAATACCTCCACGATGGCACCTCTGAATTCGTTCGGATCAAGGCGTTTAGATCACTGATTGATTTGGGGTTTCTCACGAACAATGCGGTCGCTTCACTACTACTAAACGTCGCCAGTACGGACCCCTCCCCATACACCAGAAGGAAACTCTTTGAGATCTTTTGCTTGGGTATTGCCTCTATTGCCTTCGGCGAGGATCGAAAATCCGACCCTGTTTCGGACAAAACAGACGAGACTGCAGCGAATGAGGACCGGGATGTTTTGATGAATGATGCTCCACCTGTCGAAGATGGGAACCTGCTTGTAGAGCAGGACGCGACTGCTGTTGCCGATGCTCGCGCGGCTCTTATTGCACGCACCAAGACAATAGAGGGAGCTCTGCTTGCCCTGAAGAACGAGTTGAAGAGCAATGAGGTGCTTAAGGTTGCAATCTGGAAGGCTGTCAAATCACCAAACATCGTTTTGGCTGAACACTTGGATCTTCTCGACGTCTGCCACGTTATCTACGAAGCTGTCGAGTCCATCATTGTCAAGTTGGATTACCCACGCTACTGGGGAGTCTCTCACGCTGGCAAGGTACGTAAAATTCCTCCTGGTGGTTCATTGTACGGTGCTAATTCTATTTAGGGTAAACTTACCTTCAAGAAGACTGACAAAGTCCGTACGAAGCCTCGCAAACCCGCTCGAATTGTCGCTCCAGTGGTTGTAGAGCCGCCAAAGGCTGTCTTCGCACTCCCAGCCGCAAGCCCACAAGCAGTCCAACAACCCAAGCCAGTGATAATGAAATTCTCGACTGTCCATCAGCAGAACAAGATTCCACAACAGAGCAAGACTCCAACCAGCAAGACGGCGCCGCCCACCCAAGCGCCGAAGTCAGTTATAAAGCCAGTAGTAAAGCCAGTTGTAAAGTCAGAGGTGGTGGCGGACGAGTCAATGAAGCCCCCGCCTTACAAGCCTGCGCAGAAACGAGAGCGCCCTACAGACAACATCCTTAGCTCGGACGACCGGCCGAGGAAGAAACGAAAGATTGTCAAAATGAAGGTCTCGGCTGAGGGAATGAAGCAGATCGTGCAGATCACCAATTTGCCCCCCACAAACCCAGCACCGGCCCTGGCGCGAGCCAAATCTTACACAAAGAGCGCTTCGCCAGCACCGAACCGCTCCTCTCCCAAACCCTCTCCTGGACCGAAGTCATCACCCGCCCATCGAACCGGACTGCCTTCAGCCCCTGCTGCTCCTAGAACTGGACTCCCTTCGGGCCCTTCGGCTCCTGCCAGAAATCCGCTGCCTAATGGCTCATCGGGCCCGTCAGCAATCAAGATCAAGGTGAAGCCCAAACCGAGAGCCAGCCTCCCTTCAAATCCTCCTTTGTCAAATCACTCCGCCTCTCCCAGACCAAATCCTCCGTCACAGTCCACTCCTCCCGCTCCGAAATCGACACCAGTGTCAAACCAAAAACCACAAGCTCCTGGATCTCAAAACGGCAAACCGCGGAAGCCCCTCCCAGACGCTGTGCCCCGCTCATCGCCAGCTCCCGGGGCCAAAAAATTGGTCATCAAAATAAAGAACGGCAAGGCTACACGTCAATAGTCGTCTTGCCTGATTCCAATTCCGAGGAGACGTGTATTAGTGCTTAGTGTATTCTTCAGGAAGATGAGTGAAATTGCATCTCCATTTAGCGAAAAGGCGTAACGGGGAGGGGGGATTGTCAGGGGCGTCAGGCAGTGACTATCCACTTTTCTTCCTGCCTGGTTTGCCAATAATTTAGTTGTATTTGTTGTAGTATTTCTGGTTACTGGAGCCCGGGGCAGAGGAATTGCCTGTGCTTTCTGCACGGTAGGCCTGGGCGGGCTGGAAGCTCCCTCAAAAGTTGGCGATTCGAAGTTGAAAGACAGGTAGCCTGGAGAGGTATAGAAAAAAGAAACTTCTCGATATCCAGGGTGCTGGTTCCGAGACGTCGTTTCGGTCGTCCACAGGTGGGTGGCCTTCCAAACACAGTTCAGCCTCCTAGACTCCCAGACGTGAACATTCCCTCCTTCCCACAACCCCTCATCCTCGTGAACCCGTCCCGTTTCCCTGGTCAAGTCCCAACCGCTCCGCCTTTGTCTTGACCTGTTGTGTATGCGCCCCAGGATGTGATCTCGACCCGTTGTTCGGGTCGTGCATATTTTGTGTCTTCTGCTGTTGCTGGGGCGAACCGTTCTCGGCTTGCATCTGGGCGTGGTACTCGGCTTCTGCCATCTTCTGCTCCTCTTCCCGGCGGTTCTCGTAGGCGCTCACGTCCTCGGTGGTGAGGGTTATGGCTGTAGGATCGCGGCGGAGCATGGTTGCTGCTTCGCTGCTCTGCTGGGTGTCTGCGGAAGCTTTTCTTTTTTTTTTTTTTTTTTTTTTTTTTTTCCTTCTCTTGATTGTCGATATCACGGTGTCGTAAGTAGGAATGAGCTGGCTTCAGAAGATGCAAAAAGGTGTTCTGACCTGTAGGTTTTGGGAAAAGCAGGTGGGAGATTGGTGTACAAATACCTAAGAGGGATCGGGTGATGTTTGGAACAAGGCTGGCTGTTGTTGGTTTGTACGCTAGTAACGACTAAATTTAGCGCCTTTCAAACCTTCGGCTAGGTAGATCCATCTTTGGACTCCCGTTTCGATATTCAGCAATAAAACTGCTCCTTCACATAACATCACAGCCAACATGTTCAAATGGCACGGCAATGCGGCATTTGGTCGCGCCCGGCCTGCGGCTTACGATCTTGCGAGGGTTGCAGATGGGATTGCCGAGTCTTTGAGGCAGTTTTCCATCTCTGCTTCTCGATATGCTGAGGAAGATGGCAATGCAGGTCAGTAACCCCCCCCCCAAAGCTTGCATGTCCCGTTTGAAGCTCATTGGGAACCTGACATTTATGAAGATGCCCTTAGGGTCAATCGCTCTTCCAGATCTGCAGATGCTTCACGGGAATTGTCCTCGCTGCCTCTTACACCGTCGCGCGGTATCGATGCCCGCTCTCTAGCTGCCCCAGCACCGTTTCGCCGGGTTGACGACGGGAACGCTCCGCTGAGGGGGAGGCCTGCTGGTTTTGTCTCCCGGCCCCGAGGAGACTTTCGTGGTGGAGGCATGAGGGGCGGTGCCAGGGGAGGTGCTAGGGGAGGCATGAGAGGACGTGGAGGAGCACGAGGGGGGGCACAAGCGCGAGGACAAGGAAATCGGGGAAGAGGAAAGGGGCCAAAGAGAGAAAAGGCAAACAGGCCTAAAGAGGATGATGATAGGGCGCCTGTGCCGTACACGGCGGAGGAAATCGAGTACATCGACAACAGCAAAGGAGGCTTCCAGAAACCGTACCAGCCCGTCACGAGTGCGCAGGATCTGGCGCGCTGGGGACCGCCTGTTATTTCGAGCCCGAGGGGTGTGGTGGAAATGCTCAGGTGGAAGATGGCTGCTGCGACTGATAACCAAAATCCGGAGTATAAGACGGGAGCGCTGCATCACCTGAGGACTATGAAGGGGGTGGGAACGATCTTTGAGAGTGCTGAAGAGAGGGCAAAGGCGAAGAAAGCTTTGGGAAAGTTGGAGTCGCTTTCGAAGCAGGATCAGGAGGCTATGATGAAGCAGTGGGCTGGGGGACAATATGTTGCGCCTAAGCCTGTTCAGGAGCCTGGAGATGTGCTGGCACTGGTGGCGACGTATACAAGACGGAACGAGACATATCTGCCAGAAGACGCGCGGAAATTTGAGCAGAAGCTGAGGTCACTTCTGCCAGCTACGGTCCCCAAGCCCCCACCGCCATCTATAGAGCGGCCACTTTAGTATCGGTTGTACACGTTATGTACTATCCATAATATTGTACAGAATTCGTGTAGAATACAAGCAGATTTCTCTTCAAGACTGCTCCATAGCCTTACGCGCCGCGTCCACGGCTTTCTTGACATCAGCTACTCCCTTTTCAGTAATCTTCTCCATCTCTTTTTGTGCCTTCTTCACATCGTCCGGCCGGACCGTCTTCTTGATCTCCATGGCTCTCAGCCGCTTCTGCATTGCTCCTCTAGCATTTCTGATTCCAACATTGGCCGTCTCTCCCGCTTTACTCGCCGCCGACAAAGCCAAATCGCGCGACTCCTTCGTCGGAGGCGGTATCGGTACGTTTAGCTGCAAAGCATTCTGTGCATCCTGTACGGGCTGCAGGTTCAGATCCTTGGACCCTTGAATCGCTGATATGATATGCTTGACATGCTATTCTCAATCAAAAGTCAGCAAACTGCGCAAGACTGATCTCCCTCCGTACCCTCTCCACAATGGAATGCTCCTCCTCCTCCTCCTCCTCCTCCTCCTCCTCCTCCTCCTCCTCCTCCTTCAAGCTGCTTGAGGCAAGAAAAAGGAAAACTCACGTCCTTCTCCCCGACCAGTATCATCAAGCTCCGACCCCCTTTCGGCAACACCTGCGCCAAATCCCCCAGCCTCTCGCTGGCTCTACTGTCCTTCGCCAGATGCACCCTCAGGTTCTCCAGCGCCTCCGGGTTAAACCTCCCGCCCGTGCGCAGCTTCGACAGGTCACTCTTGAGCTTGTCCAAGGCTTTCTCGATGCCGGCATCTAAGGTTGAGAAGTCGAAGGGGTCGTCTGCTTCGCTGGCCTGCGAGGACGCAGCTTCTTTCTCTTCGCGCTCGGCCCGGCCTTTCTTCTTAAGCAGGAAGGGGCTCTGCGAGAATTGGCGGTGGGCAGCAAATGGTGGCGTTGGGTTCGAGAGACGGGCTCGGGGAGCGGAACTGGCTTTGAGGCTGTGAGAAGGTTAGATGGTGTCAATGGGATTGTGACTTTGAAGAACTGCCTACGTCAATTGACATTCAGCCCTTATGGCGGATTTGGGGACAAGCTGTCCGAGGACACTAGCTCGCAAGGAGAGTCGTGGAGGCATCGTTTCCTGGTTTGCGATCAACTGTTGTCTGGAAAAGTTTGGCGACTTTTGACGAGGCGTTCCAGCCTCGGCCTCAGCCTTCTCTGGTCAACAACATCTGTGGCGAGATCAACATCAGCACTTCGAACTTATATCCAACACGTCTTACTCCATCTCTCCCGCCGCCAGGCACGAATGGATTCTCACCGCTTCAATTTGAATCCAACAGACAAAGTATGTCTGCGATGACCACGAACGCCGCGAAGCCCTTCCGCATTCTCGACCTCCCGCCCGAAATCCGCACCAAGATCTACATCCTTCTCTGCACCTCCCCAACGCCCTCCGTTTCGCTCTCTGCCGTCTCCTCGCCCTTCGCGGAGCCAATCCACCCATCTTTCCCTCAGAACCTCCTCCTGACAAACACGCAGCTCTACCACGAGCTGCGACCCCTCTACTTCACCACCAACAGCTTCAGTCTGACCATCCGCCGCCGCAATGACGACTGGTCTTACTTCCTCGCTGCTCCCTTCCTCGACAATCGTCGCCAGATACACAGCCTGCGGGTCGTGGTTGTGAGGTGGGGGACCAAGGATTTCTTCTGCAAGAGCTTGATCCCGGTTCTGGAGGACTGTGTTTTGAACGGGAGGTTGAGGCAGCTGGAGGTTGTGGTCCGGGAGGGGTTCTTGAAGGGGCTGGCTCAAGGAGAGGGGGAGGGCTTTGAGAATTGGAAGAGATTGACGGTCTTGTTGGGAGATCCGTATCTGGAGAGGGTGAAGCTACTGGCTGGGGCTGTCGATGAAGGGTGTGGTGAGCTGTCGGAAGGCGGGTTGATCCACTTGAGAGATGTCACGGAGCTTCTGAGGTTAAGAGGTGGATGAGACTAGCGGCCTCGGGACTTCTGATAGAGGAAACTGGGTAGAAGAAATGAGATACTACGAAGCTTCTTGGGCAAGTGGTAAGTGGAGGTGGTGCTTCTGCGTCAAGTAAGTGGGAAAAATCAAGGAAATGAAAAGTAGTACGATCAGCATACGAAGGACAAGATGAAGCGTGCTTCTTGATACGGTCATGTTCAAATTCGGCGAGAGGAGCTTCGCAAAGTAGCAGGCTAACATTCTAGTCCGGGAATTTGCAGTTGCTGAAGAAACGGTGATCATGTAAGAACCCGCCTTCAAATCGAAGGTGACCTCGGGTAACGAACGATACAGCCAAGAGATTTACTATGTCTCGAATTCCAGGATCCAGATGTGGAAGGCACGTCGAAGCCGCACAGCTTCCGCACACACCAGGGATACTCCAAAACCCATGTTATGACCTCTCCTATTTACACAACCTCTGGCCACCGTTCCGTTCGAGCCTGAAGGACCTGCTCTTTCTCACGAAGGGAATTCCACACATGCCTAACTCAACACAGAAAAGCATCAGCTATAGAGCTTGGAAGCGGAGGGAAGAGACTTGTCAAAATAGTATCATGTTGCCGAGCCGATGAACAGGTGATCCTGAAAACGAGTCGGGGCTAGCTAGCCGATTTCTTTACGCGGCGAATTCAACTTCACTTGGGTGTCAGAATGTGTGTACTTGTCATATTTTTTGTTCAATTTAATTAACGTTCCCCCTTCCTGTTCTACAAGCGCGCTTAAATGCCCGTAGCAAGGAAGAGACCAGCCATTTCTGATCTCAAAGTACTAAGATCAGAAACTCGCATGTGACTTTTGATGACCCCAGTGTTTGTGCGAAAAAAAAGAGCCAGAAACCAGATTAGCCAATCATGCCGAGAAGATCATGAATCAACTACCACCCATTGCTCCAGTGTGTGTGCACGTCTTCCGCAAATCGTAATCTAGCGGGTCGACATCGCCTTTGTGACAACACGCTTCAGTGCCAACTCCTTCTTCTTCAGGTCATCGGAAGTGGAGTCCTCAATCTCAAGTTGGGCCATGGCGTCGCTGAGAGCAGACTCGATCTTGTCCTTTGTTCCGCGCTTAAGCTTCAGAGACATAGTGGGGTCGGAAACGATCTCCTCAACTCTCGAGATGTACGACTCGAGTTGTTGTCTGGCCTCAAACTTCTTACTGAAAGCCTCATCGCTGTTCTTGAAGGTTTCGGCATCTAAACCTCACTTAGCTAAGTCATTAGGGACTTTGAGCACATTGGCTTACCATTGATCATGCTCTCGATCTCACCAGCAGACAGCTTTCCGACGGAGTTGGAGATGGTAATGTTGGCACTGCGTCCAGATGTCTTCTCAGTAGCAGTAACCTTGAGGATACCGTTGACGTCAACCTCGAAGACCACCTCGAGAACGGCCTCACCAGCCCTGGCAAAGGGTTAGTGGTGGACTCATGGAGGCCAGGGACTCGAAACCTACTTGTAGGGGGGGATTGGAGCAAGCGTAAACTCTCCTAGAGAAGTATTGTCCTCGCAGTTGACACGCTCACCCTGGAACACTGCGATGATCGGAAAGTCAGCTATTGTTTGTCACACCTCAGGAGAACTTCAAGGAGTATAGATTACCTGGGAATTGAACCGTCTGCTGATTGTCGGCCACAGTGGTGAAGGTTCTTTTCTTGATTGTAGGGACTTTGAGAGGCGTTAGCTATTTTTCAGAGGTGAAATCAAAAGGCGAACCTACCAGTCTGTCCACGGGGAACAACCGGGGCGAAGATGTTACCTTCCATGGCAACACCGAGGGAAAGGGGAACAACATCCAAGAGCAGCTTTTAAATAACGTTAGCATAACGCCCCAACAGTGCCGCTACATTAATGCTTACCAAATCGGCAGTATCGGCGGAGGTGGCCTTTCCGGAGAGGATACCAGCTTGAACGGCGGCACCGTAAGCAACAGCCTCATCAGGGTTGATGCTCTTCTCAAGCTTCTTCCCATCAAAGAAGTCGCTCAAGAGCTTCTGGATACGTGGGATACGGGTAGAGCCACCGACAAGGACGATCTCGTCGACCTTGCTCTTGTCGAGATTGGCATCCTTGAGAACTGTGGCAACTGGGTCCAGGGTACCGTTGAAAGCCTTGGAGTTCAAATCCTCGAAACGGGCACGGGTGATCTGGGCGTTGAAGTCCTCTCCGTCGAACAGGGAGTCGATTTCAACAGTGGTTTGGGCTCCGTTGGAGAGAGTTCTCTTCGCACGCTCACATGCGGTACGAAGACGGCGGAGAGCACGTGGGTCGCTGGACAGGTCTGGGGAGGAAAATGTTAGCAACTGTGAATTCCGGAGCAAAGTAATGTAAAAATCTGGATAATAAAGTGGACGAATGTAGTAGCTCGATTTAGACATTCCGAGGTTTGGATAATCTCTGGGCAAGGGTGGATGATGAATTGACATGGCAGTTGGATTCCGGAATGAAGTATTGAGTGGTGTTGGTAGTCTGGCTGGATAATGACTAAGCTCGACGGGCAAGGCAGGACTTTGATCTCATATGAAGAATGAGATCAGACTTGTACTCCTATGTACGACCACAACATCGGAGATCTGGATGATGGCTGGGCATGGCAGGATGGTGTCCTGGATGAATGTTGCAAATCGTAATGGACATTGGGAGATCTGGATGATGACTGGGCACGGGTGGATGATGAGGTCGACCAAACAATATCCAGTAGGCCAGCAGCCAGACAGAAATCAGCCAGTTCGGACAGAGATATGCAGGTATCCACATCCTTGATAACGTGGCGGACACGTGGGTTGACCAAAGACGTGACGTTGATGGCGGCAAATATAGCATTTGCAAAAAAAGCAGAACGTCGCTGAGCATGTTGTGAACGTGGTAGATGTACAGAAGTTGGTTGAGGTGTCTGGCGATGCATCGATGTTGCATGTAGTGAGCAGCCCGACTTTATTGCCAAGCTGACCATCCAGAGTCCGGAAAGAGAATCCAGATATCCAGTACTGAGGAAGGAGCATAGGTGCAAATGCCCTTGCCCTGCCGATTTCGAATGTCGCAAGTCCTACCCAGCACAGTGTCCGGAACATCGCTGCAGGTGCGCTTGCCATACCCGAGTTCAAATGTCACCAGTCCAGGTTGTGAGGTTTTCCAACGACCCTGCCCAGATTGAATCCGACGCTGTCGGATTCTCCATGTCGCAAATCCTACCCAGGATGGTGAAATGAAAAAAAAAGAGAGAAAAAAGGGAAAGGAAATTTTTTTACGTTACTCACCTTTCTTCGTTTTACGGAGGAATTCTTTCTTGAAGTGGTCGAGCAAGGCAGTATCGAAGTCAGAACCACCAAGATGAGTGTCACCAGCGGTAGCCTTGACAGTAAAGACACCACCCTGGATGTTGAGAAGGGAGACATCGAAAGTTCCACCACCGAGATCGTAGATCAAGACATTGCGCTCCTTATTAGACTTTCCGGCACCGAGACCGTAAGCGATAGCGGCGGCGGTAGGCTCGTTGATGATACGGAGGACATTGAGACCGGCAATGGCACCAGCATCCTTGGTAGCTTGACGTTGGTTGTCGTTGAAGTAGGCCGGGACGGTGATAACGGCCTTGGAGACCTTCTTGCCCAGCTTGACCTCAGCAACCTCTTTCATCTGTTCAGGGCCCGCTATCAGCTTATGATCTCAATGTTCCGCAGGGTGGTGACCACCTACCTTGCTCAGCACCATGGAGGAGATTTCCTGTGGGGAGAAAATCTTGTTCTCGCCGAGGTACTCAACCTCAACCATGGGGCTGCCCTCTTGGTCAACGACCTTGAACGGCCATGACTCGATATCCTATTGTAGAATCAGGATGGTGATCTTGTGTATGGGCAGTCGCTTCCAAACCTTCTTGACTGTTGGGTCATCGAATCGACGTCCAATCAATCGCTTGATATCGAAGATTGTGTTTCTCGCATTCATGGCGGCATTGTTCTTGGCAGATTCACCAATCAGACGCTCCTTATCCGTGAAACTGACGAACGATGGGGTTGTGAAAGACTGGTCGAGGTGTTAGCATCTTGTCATGTGAAGGAATGGTTGACCAACTCCTTGCTCGTTGGCAATGATCTCAACGTTGGTGCCCTCATAGTTGGCAACTGTAGTGTCAATCAGTATGAGATGTCCGGAATGTGGTGGAGAGCTGGAGCGATTATCGAGAAACGTACCGCAGGAGTAGGTGGTTCCTATCGGGGACAAATTAGCTGTCTGGTCTTCAAGACCGCAAAGTCATTACAGCAGGGTGTGGCACATACCGAGATCGATACCGATCGCACCGTCGTAAACCTCGTCAGCCATGATTGATTGTGTGGAGGGGGATTGGGGGATTTTGGAGTTGGGAGGAAGGAGATTGTCGAGGGGCGGAGAGGTTGATGGAATCTCAAAGCATTTGCAACTGCAAAAGTTCTCAAGTTTCTGTGGAAAGGCGGCGCTAGGTCCCGTTTCGCTAAATTTTGCTCGCCCGCTAATCCCGATTAGGAACCATTCGCACTCCACTCACCGCTCCACCGAAAAGTTAGAAGTGGACTGTGAAATTATGGATTTTAGGGATTTTAGGGACTTTATGTATTCGCTGAGAAGGTTGAGTTCCGGCCTCGGCGTTCTGTTGAGTTGCATGCAAGCTTTGATCAAAGACTAGTAGAATTTTTGAGGACTTCACTACATCAGGCCGAACACTGCGTTCCTCGTTTCACTTTCAAGATCTGCATGTTCTTGATATGTGGGTTCTATATCTGGTGTGAGCTACCTAGTCACCAGAATAGCCGCATAAGATATCCTCGGAAGTCAAGAAGTACATTAGTATACAACGCCATCGCCGAGGCAGAGCCTTGCTACCCCATCCCAATGACCATTTCATCTCTGCGCGACGCCATTCCCCAAAAACCATTCCCTAGAAACCATGAAGAAATTAACTTGTCCCATCAGCGTAGGAGATTAGCAAAAACGGTGATCTTCTCGAGCTCAACATCCTGTCCACTGGCTGGCTTTCCGGATCCCTTGGGCAATGCAGCAATCAACTCAAGCTCGATTCTGTTGACACCGGGGAGAAGGCGGGCTTCAAAGAGAGGGTGCCGAGGATCAACAGGGTGGCCGGGGATAAGGGGCATGGCATTAAGTCTCTGCGTTCCAGAGGTAACGAAGAGCTTATGTTGTCGTTCAAGGAGGGAGGGTGCAATAGTTGGCTTGATCTGGAGGTAGTAATGAGTTGAGGGCAGGTTTATGGTGATCGATTGCTGAGCCATAACTGGAGAAGGTGGAAGGTCCATACGGAAGTGGCGAGAAATGTTCAGGCCAGGGTGAGTTGCAAGGCACAGATTTGTGATCATGGCATCAGCCGCAGCTAATCCTGTCAGCAATAATTCCAATTTCAAAGGGTTACGAAGACTATAATGCTTACTTTTACCAGCTTGTCGCCACTTTGAATCAAACCCGGGATTTGGGGGGGTGTACTGCGCTTGGTGGTTGAAGGATTGTGCATAGCCAACAGAATTGAAGTGAGTAGTAGACTGCCCTGGGGTTGATGGAGGAAGCATGCCGTTTGCAGGAATTCCAGGGGTAGAGACTGCATGATTCGACCCGCGAAAGTTGTTCAAGGGTGCCTGAACAGCTGGTGAGTTACGGGAAGCCTCTTCATTCTTGACGGAAGCCGAGTGCGAGGGTGTAGGAGAAGCTACAGAGCCTGATGCGCTTCTTGCTCGTTCAAGTTGATCTAAGCTCGGGGCCGGTACTGCAGAAGCAAAGGGGTTTCGACCACTTGTACCATTGGCAGCTTGAATCGCAACTGGAGCAGGGGCAATTGGTTGAGGGGCAGGCGAGTCAGCAGGGCTCGGTCTGCCTGGCATTCTCAGGGTGATTTTTGGGGGTGGCTGAGCGGACTTCGTCTTCAGCTTGATTCTGGGTGGGAGTGCTGGAGTTTTGGGTGGAATTGCTGAAATTTTGGGTGAGATTGCTGGAGCTCCGTCGGGGACAACCTTTTTGATCTCAGGGAAAACTTTTGTGAAGAAGACCTAGCAAGTCGTCAGTAATGTCCAGCTAGTGCGGAGCGCTCATATAGCAAACGTACTTTGAATTCATGGGCCAGTAAGAAAATAGGGCTTCCGTCTTTATTGAATTTGATAGCGTTCTTCCAGATGTGGCTTGCCTCGTGCTCGAAAGCACCCCAACTTTGATACGAAGATACTCCAGTCGCCGCAGCCTTGCCTCGAATCCCCTTTGTGCCTTTCTTGAGCGTCCTCAAGCTGACTGGGTGATCGATAACCTCGTAGTAATCTGGATACTCCTCTCTTGAAGGGAGTTCAAGGAAGGGTAGGTACTCGGGAATAGTGTCCCTGTGGTTCATTGTCAGTACTGAGACGAGTCACAGAAAGTATATCGATTTACTCTGGGAATTCTTTTTGTGCAATCAAGTCATCCACAAACTTCTCTTGGGCTTCCTGGAAGGTGAGTCCATGATAGCCAGCTACTGAGAAACGTGTATCCGGCAAGTTGGGGGTCACACTTTTTCTCTGAGGTTGGGAGTTTCTTGGGAGACGGCCACGAGCCTTCTTGGTGGTGGTGGTTTGGACACGATGATCAGCTTCGCCTGGAGCATCCTCCTCACCAGCGCCTTCCGTAGAAGCTGGTGCAGGCGAAGTAGGCAGCGGTGTAGCAAAGGCTGAATAGCCAGGGATCAATTTGTATGCCGGATTATGCTTTGTCATGTAGTTGCTTAATGCCTTCCTCAAGCGCTCAGAATCTTCATATATCTCGGAGTCTTTGGTATTGTACTCCTTTGCATTTGATATCATGCGCTTGAAGTAGCTTTCTAGTGTCGTGAGGTTTGGGAATTCGTGGCGCTTCAACTTGGCTTCGATAGTGTCTAAGGCAATGGGCATCTTGATCATCTCGTAGTAGTCGGGGAATTGCTTCTTGCTGGGAAGTGTGAGGAAAGGCGTCGCAATTAGTCGGCCACTGAAATACTTGTCAGTCAAGAAACACTCGAATCAGATGTCACAATTCCAACTCAAAATGCATTCACTTGGTCCATGAGGATGCGGGGGGATACACAGTTCTGTTATCTGTTGCAAATACTCGCAGGACAAGGCTGGCATAGACCACAAGGGAATCGTGCAGTCAGTTGTCGCATTGGGAGGAACAAAAAAATGGAAGCGTAGGGTACCTTTTATCGGCTGTCTGGCGGAAGGTGTCGAGCAATTTGAGGCCCATCTGGGTTGTGGTTTCGGGACTCTCACCCTGAGAAAGCAAGTCCTGTTCCTCGGTCAGCCTTGCCTTGCCTTGCCTTGCCTTGCCTGCTTTGATGGATGCGGTCCGTAGGGTTGGGTCGGTCGAATGATGGTGCAGTGAACCTTCGGCGCCCCTCGACCCTGCGACCAACATCGAAAGCACAACAACCCGGCATCGCGCACACAGTAGCGCATCCACGCGGCGCATCGCGAAGGGCGTCACCTACACTGCCCGGCATCTTTCTCCTCTTTGCAGCACGATCGTCCAGCTCCTCTCCGGAGGGAGCAGCGCCATTGACCTTGCGTTTATCCATCGTGTGTGTCCTTTCCCGGCGGACGTCGCGGGCGTGAAATCCGGTATTGAGAGAGCTCGGGCGCTTTTGTGGTTTGTATGGAGTGGAGGATGCAATCGTTGAGTTGAGCTGTGCCCAGGGCGCAAAGCAGGTCTTGGTCGACGCGATGCTGGTCACGGCCTCAGGGATTTGCTCCTGTCGTTGTTCTTGCGATCAGGTTGCCGAGAGTTAGTTACAAGCTGGAGCGGGCACTACCTCCCGTACTGTATGATCCCCACGAAAATCAAAAACCAAGATTGATTTCACCGCACAGCCTTGGGAGTCGGCGTGGCAGTGGGCGTCGCAAGTGGCCGGTCGCAACGTAAATAATGAATGAGGCCGAAGAGGATGTGGCTCTCGGTGTGCAGAGATGCATGCGTTCATTCACCTCCGCTGTTTTTGCGCAAGAAATAATAAATGACTGTCTCCTCAAAGTCCAGCGCGGCAGTCCCACTCTGGCTGGCTGGCTGGCGGGCGGGCGGGCTCCCTGGCTTCCCGGGCTCCCTGACTCCCCACACAAGCATCGATTGGCACTGGTCGGTCACGTGAGACACCTCCACTAGCTCCCGCCGCCAAGCCGCTAACTGCGGAGCAGTATTTGTTTACTTTACTTTATGCCACCCGGAAGGAACCAGAATCGTTGTTCCAGCTCAGCGGTACAGCCAGCTCCTACGGACACTGACACTGACACTGACACTGACACCGACACCGACACCGACACCGACCCCTTCAATACCTTACACCCTACAGTACCGCTCACCCAGCTGCCCCCTTGGATTGCAAATCATCTTCTCTTACCGTCGCGACGTTGCTCGTCCGTTCTCTTTTGCCTGCGCTTTCCATCCCACGTCGCCTAAAGGGCCGAATCTCCTGCACGCCGTAACTCCCACGAGTCGAGTAAGGCCAAAAACTTTGTTTGGATCTGTGCTCGTCCGCTGCATACTCCAAATTTTGACGCGTGGATCCCGAGCGGCTACCAGCTCTTGCGCAGGACCTTGAAATCTAACACTTCGTCGCGTACTGCCCCTCCACTAGCTGTTTGCTGTACGGACAGAAACGTCTCGAAGTTTACGTCGCAATCATGAACAACTTCCCCCGAGCCGAAGACCAAAAATCTAAGATGTCGGCGGAATTGGATTACTCTAGGCGCAACGAGTCTCCGAGGCCGCTCACCGACGATGAGAAGGCGCTTTTGGAAGAGTTCATTGATTCGATCCACTACTCGGCGAGGTAAGTAAACGGCGGCGCAGAAGGGAGACGGATGAAGACGGCGATTTGCTATTTGAGGCTCCTCACAGATCGGGTGCTGACTCTCTTGCGCAGATACTCGGATAACGAATACGAATATCGACATGTCCAGCTGCCGAAGAACATGCTGAAGGCCATTCCGAAGGCTTACCACGACTCGACCAATGGCACATTGAAGCTGTTGTGGGAGGAGGAGTGGAGAGCATTGGGGATTACACAGGTGTGTTAAGGCTACGACGTGCGAGAGAAAAAAAGCAAGAACTGACGGCAGATCTGCAGAGTCTTGGATGGGAGCATTATGAGGTCCATGAGCCTGAGCCTCACATACTTCTTTTCAAGTAGGATACCCCAACTCTGGATAGGTCGAGGATTGAGCTAACTCGGTCATAGGAGACCGATCAACTATGCTCCCCCCGGCCAATAGAGGCGCTGCTTTCCTGCTCATGACCTTTAATTTCGGTGGATTTTTGACGGAGCGCAAGACTTTGCAAACAATGGCGTACCTATGCTTTGATGATGTTACGTCTCATGTCTCTCGATACACCACGCCTCTTGGCCTCCGCTTCTGGCCTTCTTTCGATGTACTAGATTAGGGTTAATGGACATCCCCCTTTTTCCAAGGTTATCCGGCTCTCCTTGGGTCTTACTTCCAATTCCGGGCTTGGTTGGTGGTGGCAGGTAGTCGTTGTATAAATTTGAGCAGGAAATTTGTCGTTCGGCAGGAACAGGAGATAGAAAAATGAAACGGTAGATAAAATACCAGCTGTCCGGCCACTACTCTGCTGCTCCGGCTCTTGTTGAACGTGAAAAGTAGTGTAGTTGAACCAGGAATGTGTCGAGCAACCCCCTCAAATGTAACAAAGACAGAACGTGGATATCGAAGCTCTTGGACTTGGACCTGGGGGTAGCGTTTGGTTGCACTGCACCAACTCTACCATGTTCATGTTGTTGTTAAAGAAGTATAGCAGCTGGTTCAGCGGACGAAAAAATGTCAAATTGCAACTATGCGGTCGACTCATGCCATACTACCGATGCCTAGCCAGAGCTACCCGGTCGCTTGCTAACAAAAATTCATCTTCATATAGATAAAACAACACGAGAACGGATACGAATGAGCAGCACTGGGATCCGGCATTTGCCAAGCTGCTTTGGGACAGGTGTGATCCTTCGATGCACCTCTGGATGTACGTAGTACGTTGTAGGAGACAGATATACCGAAACCTCAGCTGTTTTATAATCAACCAGTTCAACTTGTGCTGGTGCCAGCTGCACCTTCTTTCGCCCTCTAGCCGTTGTTCTACCAATCTTCTATTGTGCACTTACCAAGTCCCAGCGCAATCTTGGAAGTTCGCTTCGCTCTTCTATTTGGTACTAACGTTTCTGAATCAGTGCTTCAATAACCAACCAAGTACCGGTACCGGTAGTCTACTCTTTGAGGAGGAAGACCGAATCGCTCCCGACGTTCGAGCTATTCAGCCCCCTGTTCGGACGAAGTCTAATTGATTGAACACAAAGGCCAGACAGACGACTTATGGCGATCATGAAGACCGCAGCAGAACTCTTTTATGTGGCTTTCTTCTCGTTGTTGAGAACTTCGCACGCCGCAGATCCTGAGACAGCCTCGACGGCACATCCATCTATTCCAGATGTTTGCGCGGTACGCTTCTCTATTCTTACTCCAGACATACGTGTCTAATTGTATTCATCAGATATCCTCCAAGTCAATTGTGTCTGATGCTTGCGCCTCCTACTCTACCCTCGACAACCTTAGTCGAGAGCTACAACCCTTCCTCAACGACATTACGCAAAATACCGATTTCTTCGCATACTATCGTCTGAATCTCTTTGGCAAGGAGTGTCCTTTTTGGAATGATGAGAGTGGCATGTGTGGGAATATCGCATGCGCTGTGAACACCCTGGACAACGAAGAAGATATTCCGGCAATATGGAGAGCGGAGGAATTAGGAAAGCTGGAGGGCCCGAAAGCGGAACATCCTGGCAAACATTTACAGGAAAAGCGAGGGCCGCAGAGGCCGCTCCAGGGCATGCTGGGCGAAAGTGTCGGAGAAAGTTGCGTCGTTGAATACGATGACGAATGCGACCAGCGAGACTATTGTATTCCGGAGGACGAGAGCGCTGGATCAAAAGGAGACTATGTTAGTTTGGTGGACAACCCGGAGAGATTCACGGGTTATGCTGGAGAGGGAACCATGCAAGTTTGGAACGCTATCTACAGGGAGAATTGCTTTTCAAAGGAATCCTTCCCCAAGTCGGCGTCCCTTGGTTCTTCGCCATTTTCGCAGAAAGGTCCTGCGATAAGTGAACTTCAAAATGTCATCCGGGAACGTGGACGTCAGCAAGTTCTTGAGGAACACCAGAAGCACACCCCAAACACACCCTTCGTTACCGAATCTGGTCTTGAGCACGAGGATCAATGCTTGGAGAAGAGGGTTTTCTACAGAGTGGTTTCAGGAATGCATACTTCCATCAGTACTCACCTCTGCTGGGAACATCTGAACCAGACGTCGGGAGAGTGGGGGCCCAATTTGCAATGCTACAAAGACCGTCTGCACGGATTCCCGGACAGAATATCTAATCTGTATTTCAATTACGCTCTTGTCTTACGAGCTGTTACGAAACTCGGACCGTACCTCAAAGATTATACGTTCTGCTCAGGGGATCCGGCGCAAGATCGCGCTACGAAAGAGAAAGTACAAGCACTTACCGCGAAAGCCGGAGCTGTACCTCCAATTTTTGACGAGACCCTAATGTTCGTTAATGGCGAAGGCCCAAGCTTGAAAGAGGACTTCCGCCAACGATTCAGAAATGTCAGCCGGATCATGGACTGTGTTGGCTGCGATAAATGTCGACTCTGGGGTAAGCTGCAAACTGCCGGTTACGGAGCTGCACTGAAAGTCCTGTTCGAATTTGACAATGATTCAAATGACATCCCCATGCTCAAGAGAACAGAATTAGTGGCGCTTTTCAACACGCTTGCACGCATTACCAAATCGCTCGAGGCTATCGCAAAATTTAGAACTATGGTTGGGGATGCGGAGCTAGGTTCGAGTGGCGACGTGGAGGACAAGGTGTTCCCTGACAGAGTCACAAAGCCACACAATGTGGTGCCTAAGCCCGATCACAAGGGAGAGCACAAAGACCACACAGAGGCCGACTTCGTGGAGCATGAAAGGGAAACGTTGCGCCGGAAGAGACTACCAGCCAACGCTACTTTCTCCGAACTTCTTAAAGCCGAGTTAGGTCTCACATGGAAGGTGTTTAAGTACGTGATCAAGAGTTGGATCACCTTTCCAAAACATGCGTAGGTTTTGCTGTATGAATCTGATATAACCCAACTAACAATGCTCCAGATGGGAGATCTTCGTACTTGAAGCCTCCAGAGCTTGGAATAATTACATTGGCTTGCCGGTCCGCCAGAGGACGTGGACTTTCAGACGGCCTGTTTTAGATGAGCTATGAAGGCTTGATTTTCTGTGGGTAGGCGTTTCTGGGGTACATAGGCGTCAGCATCAGCGTATGGAGTTTGCGCCCGAGTGGTGGTTTAATATTGTATTGGTGGACATTTCCTTCTCGAGATATATTTCACAATGGGAGCCATGGAAATCCAAAGAACCACTCGTCTTGTGCGTTGCATGGTTTCTTTCAGATTGGTCTCGTTCTTCGATGGGAAGGAAGAGGAGATCAGTTTGAAAGCCAGAAAAAGTTTGACTTTGAGAATGCATTTTCCTCTCAACAAATTTGGCCTTTGTGACTGGGTAATCTTTTCTGCGCCATGCTGATGGAATCGGTGGTCTTATATTCATCTGACCAGGAAACTCCGCGAGAGCACTCGTTTGTAGCTCCTTCCCCCCAAGCCCGTCCCGAGTCCTTATCTGCAACTTCTGCTCTTCCTTGCCTTCAACATCACAACAGCCGTAGCGAGAAGTCGAAACTACATCACGATGTTCGCTCTCTACTCGCTCCTCGTCCCGGCTCTTCGTCTCGTCAGCTTGGTCAGCTGTACATCTTACATTGGAGTCAAAGACCCCCATTTCGGCACCGACGTCTTCACTGGCATCCCATTCGCAAAGCATCAAACTCGGCTTCAGCCTCCTGTTCCGTTGTCTGGTGATCAAGGAGTGGTCATTGCAACCAGTCCGGTTAGCAAGCGATGTCTCGAGGTTGGTCCTGGTGCCTCTCCAGCTCTTGGGTCGGAAGACTGCTTGACCCTTGATATCGTCCGTCCTTCGAACCCTCCAGGTCGAGACACAAGCGGCTTCGACTCGGTCACTATCACAACCACTGTTAGCAACATACACAAGACCAATCTTCTGCCGGTCTACGTCTTCATTCACGGGTACGAAATCTATATATCCGACTTCTCATAAAACTTCGCTAAGGGAGGTTTCATAGCGGTGAATTTATCAAGGGCGACAAATCAGAATACGATGGCAGAAACCTTGTCAAAACCAGCGTCACTCTTGGACATCCTATCATCTATGTCGCTATGAACTATCGCCTCGGCTTTCTGGGATTTCCAGCCGGTAAGGAAGCCCAGTCTCATAATTCTACGAATCTTGGACTTCTTGACCAGCGTCAGGCTTTGGTTTGGCTGCAGCAGAACGTTCGCTATTTCGGCGGAGACCCGAAGAAGGTCTGTTTTGCATTCTCCTAGACCAGAGCTCTACATCTCAAACCATGATTGCTTACTCCGCCACCCAGGTTACCATTGGTGGTCAAGGTAGCGGAGCTGACTCGGCAGCTTATCATTTGCTTGCCTACGGAGCCAAGTATGGTGGCCTCTTTCGTGGTGCAATCCTCCAGAGTGGCTCCGCCACCGGCTCCTCGCCGATTCCAAGTCCGAAATACACCGACTACCAGTTCCATTACAACGCTATTACTTCAGCAACGGGGCATGTTACCCTAACTACTGATTCTCCGACATATCTAGCATTTGTAGCTGCGATGTTGCTACCGCTGATAGCTGGACCTGTCTTCAAAATGCCCCAATCGATGCACTCGTAAAAGCATACAGCAAGATCTTCTCCGATACAAGATTAGGTAGCTTGGCTCCTGTGTAAGTGGATTTAAGGCTTCCTTTTGACACAATGTCTAACGACTCGTTTAGATTCTCTCCAGTCATCGATGGGAAGTTCTTCACAGACTTCCCGTCTGTATTGACGGAGCAGGGAAAATTTGCACGTCTACCACTTCTTTTAGGAACGACAAAAGACGAGTTTAGCAATTCTGTCCCAGTTGATCGAGGCTTCGGGTCTGACGCTGCCATTTTGGGATATCTAAATTCAAGATTCCCCTATGTCAGCGATAGCACGCTTCGCTGGCTCTTGACATATTACCCAGTCTTCAATTTCAAAAATACTGGACCTCCACTTTCGGGCTCTCAGTGGACCCGGGCCATTGCTATGGTGAACGACCTACTGTCCTTTTGCCCAACGACCGAGCAAGGTATTCAGGTCTCAAGAGTTGCAGATGTCTACAAATGTCTGCACCCACCATTCCTACTCTCTACAGCGCCATCTACTGCAATTTCTAACCCTAACGTACAGACCGATGGGATTCTGTTCTCCAATCAGCTCCAGTTCGCCAATGGGAAGGTGTACCTCGCGGCAGTGACCTCCACTTTGTGTTCCCTCTTGGGTAATATTTCCACTTCCTGTTCCGGCAACCATTGCTAATAAAAATCCAGAGGTGACATGGCCAAACAGACTCCAGCAGACCTTGCTCTGATTTCCGCATTCCAACGCGGACTGATCAGCTTCGTCAATAGCCTCGACCCACGCTCTATTAGAGCTGCAGACGCTGATTTTGATATAATTTGGTCCAAGATTAACGCCGATATTGACTTTGTTAATCACACTGTTTGCAGCTTCGTCAAGGCTAAGAATGCAGAGTTCATGCGCTGAAGGCACTCATCTGAGATTTCAACGTGGTACAGAAAGTTATTTTCTGTAGATCAGAAACATGCTCTAGGCTGTCGTTTACTCTTGTTAATGCGAAACCCCACTTGCATCGACGATAGCCAACGCCATATGGGTCTTGGTGGTGAGGGAAAACGATATATATTTGGTCTTCATGCAACCTCGAATATCTCTGTGAAGACAAACCGTCGTCCGTTTCCGTGCTATATGCTGTATGTACTAGGTATTTGAAGAGGAGTACCTAGGTGATCGTTTCCCTTGACCTGCCGTGGTCAGTCACCACCTGCTTAAATGCCATTGCCATTGCCACCAGCTCATACATGCATGCATACATACATACCCAACCCTCCGTCTACACGCTATGCTATCCAAGATCAGTCGCCAGAAGAACACTTTTCTCATTTCACTACTATGGCATGCACAATAGCATCGTCTCTCTTTCTTTTACAAAAGGAAGAAAAAAGGAAAAGGAAAAAGGAAAAAAAGGGGGGGGGGGATGCATTGCCGTCTTGCTTATCGTGATATATACACGCCCGAGCAGAGCAGCGCGCTTTCCATGTCGGTGTTTTCTATAACAACATGGGGATTCTAGATTCCAGATTCCAGATTCTATATTGTAGATTGTAGGGAGAAAGTGGGAAGTTGGGAGGGGTAGGTTTTGGGATGGAGGGGTTGAAGATTGGTGGATATACATACATATAGGTATACAAATATATATACCCGCATGAACGCACGCACGCACGCACCGTAGTTACGTAGTAGTATGTACTACTAGCTGCTTCGGGGATACAGCAGCAGTGCCGATGATAATTATTCCTATGCCTGTTTATATCAAGGGTCTGGGCTGGCCTGACGATGTCGGTGTTATTTATGGTGGTACTCTTGATGAGCTTCTGCGGGCAGGGGGGCGTGCGTGTGGTGGCGGTGGGGTTGGGTATTCCTGGTTTCATCATTGGATGGATGTACTTTTTGATCTTGTTGGCTATCGTATAGTATATATAGATGAAGGATTGGGCGGGGGAGGGACGGGGGGTAGCTAGCCCGCTAGCTGGTCTTTTGCTCGAGGTTGTGAACTGTGAACTGTGCGTGTTGGTTCTGTAGTCCGTGTATCCCGATTGCGTATTTTTTATTATATATATATATATATATATATATAATATGTACGTTTCCCCCGGACAGTGCTCGATCATCATCTCTCTTAATTATGCTGGATTAGTGCTAGTTTAACCCAGCCCGCGTCCCTCTCGAACTCTCAGTTCTTGCTTCGAGACTAAGTAGGTGCTCTCTCTGCTGTTCCCACCTGCTTGAGCCCCAGGTGGGCTACTATATCTCGTACAGTAGTACAGCTTCGTATCACTCCTCATCATCTCAAGAGGCCCACGCACTTGGTAGTGTTAAGGTAGACACGGCGAGGGACTTGACGGTATGCTGCTGCTGCTGCGCTCGCTGTCTTGGCCTGGAGCGTATCCATTACAATCCAATGCCCACCAAGGGACTAGGGGCAATGCACGATATCTACCTATCTTATACGGGTCTTGAAGACTTCAGGCAAGAAGCGCTCCAATCTCGCACGGTGCCTCATTCATAAATTTGCTGAAATCACATGTGTGAAGATATATGTAAGTGTTGCATAGAGACAGTACCGTACCTCGTACGCCTTCGCTTAATTTGTTCTGGCGTTCGGTGAAAGATCGTGGCTCCTTGCTGGGCCTGGGCCTGACGACGAGGGTTGCTCTCGGAGTGAGAGGAAATCGTCCTGGTTACCAAGTTCAGTAATCACATGCTGATAAACCCAAAGAGACGAGATGCGTCGCAAATTAGTCAAAGGGAAACAACAAAAATTGCGAAAAGGCGGAAGACTCCTCGTGTTGGATCGCCGGTAGCGAACGTTCATTCCTAGCGTGCAGCGCACGTAGCTTCTTGCAATTGCAAAACTGTCGATAAAAATGGTATCTGATTTCTGTCTACTCTCCAAGGTCCAGGGGAGTGGATTCCTTCTATACGATTAGAAGGAATCACATGGACTAGCTAGTAGTATATAATAGTATTTACAAGGAAGTTGGGGGTCCCTGAGGGTAGGCCACCCTTGAGGGTATGCCACTCTAAGCGAGGGCATGCCCATGTAAGCGAGGCATGCTCATCCGTAACCGAGCTGACCCCAACTAAGCTGGGTCGATATTGATGCACCAACACCTCGAGTTGGGAAGAGTGGATACCAAAAATGCATCGAAAGGGAAGTAATTTCTTCAAAAGGACGCTCTGAAGAAATCAAGTAACAAGAAATGGGATTTTGCTTTTGTTACATCTGCTGCAAAAGATTTGAATTTCGCTACGGGAAGACCTAGTACTCCTCGTGTGACGATCTCAATAAGGTTCCTCTCCCTTGCCGTATGACCACATGGGAAGCAGAGAACAAAATATCCTGGAGCATTGAGTACAGGAGATACATTTCACCGAAGAGATCACAGAGTTTTGTGTGAAATTCTGGAACTTGCAGAACACAGGCGGTCTGGTCGTGGATGACATGAGTACTGGTCTGACCGAAGACCTTTCCAGCTGGAAAAATGAGGGAGATTTTTCCGGGGTATAATTTTTTTGGTCGACTTGAGTTCTGGCCTATGGCCCGGGAAAGTACTTGAAGGCAGCTGATACTTTCTAACCTTATTGGAGATCCGAGATACTTATTGGCAAAGGCATGCTCGTTACAACATTACCCACCTTACATTTGATCTCTTCAACCCGAAGCTGTATAGCTTGAATGCCATCAAGATGATCTTTGGTGGCCATTTCTGTCAGTTCCAGGATTTCGTCGCTCGGGCTTTGAAGTGTCCAGGCCAGGCTAACGTGGAAAGCGTCGGTAGCATCTTGCATTTGTGTCCAGTCCGTCTTACGTGACGGTGTATCAAACAGAATTCTCTTGAACCTCGCGGACCGGCGCTGTTCCTCTTTCTTGCGTGCAATAGTTAAAGGTTCAGATGGGGGCTTCGGGTACAGGGGTGGTTGGCCGTATTGCTTTACAGTCGAGTTGCAAACGTGGAGAAGCTTGTTTAAGCCATCTTCTTCGGGTCTCGGTATGCGTAAGACGAGAAACCAGCGAGTACCTTCAAAGTTGGCAACCCATTTGAGACCGTTGAAGGACAGATTGAAGCTTAGGAGTCAGTCACGTGACCAATATCGACGTTGCAAAAAGGCTTACGGTCGAATCCCAGATTCCTTAACAGCCCGACGCAACGAATCAACGAAATCATCTTTTTGCGGTGCTAAGAATCCAAGAGACCTGGACAGACTGACGTGGAGGGGTAAAGGGACACCAATGTCGCTCGTTACGAGTGAGTGGACTTTCGACTTTGGTTCTCGCGAGTCTCTCTCTTGAAGAGCTGCGGTCAGCTTGGTCAAGGAGACATCTTCCGTCTTTGTCGGATACCCTCGATTGAGTCAGCCAGATCTTTGCCCATTGTGGTGCAGGAAGTAGAGAGCATACACTCGATGTAGAGATGGGTGGGCCAGTTGCCCTCGATATGGGGGATGAGCCTCTTCCTTCCTTCGTGCAAGCTCGGTTCATCCCTGGTGCTCCGTCTCGTTGTCGAAGCGTACAAGTCGTGGAACTTGGAGGGCAAGGGTGGAAGGTCTAATACTGTCTCGACACGCTTGCGCTTAAGGTTGAGGTCGGGAAGATCCTTTACCGGACGGGGGGTCGGGGTCAGGGTCGGGGTCAGGGTCGGGGTCGGGTTCACCTCGCTCTCCTCTTCATCGGACGAAGGGTAGTCGACGAGCGCCATGCTTTTTCTGGCAAGCGGTAGTAATGGAGAGACAGCTTCCTGACACTGGTTGAGTGTGAGTGTGAGTGTGAGTGTGAGTGTGAGGGTGAGGGTGAGGGTGAGGGTGAGGGTGAGGGTGAGTGTGAGGGTGAGGGTGAGGGTGAGTGTGAGTGTGAGTGTGAGTGTGAGTATGAGTATGAGTCTCGGTTTCTCGATCCACGATTGAGGCTTCAGATACGACTTGCGTGTATTGCTTGGGCGATGGTGATGGCGGTGATGGTGGTGGTGATGGTCTTGGAGGTGATGGTGGTGGGCGACCTGGAGCCGAGACTGGATACGGCACTTAGACGCCTGGACCAACCTTAATAATCTCGCTTGCTATTTCTGGTACTCCAGCTCACTCCTGCCACCCGGGGATCAGAGCCTACGGAGTAGAGGATCAGAGTCAGACAAGCATCAGCCACGACGACAGGTCAGCGAATGCTTATTAAGCCGGATTGGCATGGGTCACCAGTAAATCATTGGGCCGCTAACAGGAGCCAAGCGAGGTCAAGCCAAGGGCAGTGCTCTTGTCTTGCCCTTGCCCTTGCTCTTGCCCCAGACGGGGAAGTCGCCAGCAAATGACGTATCCCAACCGAAAGTATGTAATAATCATAATCTCGTTGATCCAAGGGTGACTACTGACTGACTACCGGTACTCTGTCGTCCTTCTCCCTTCCTTCTCTCCCTTCAACCCTAACCTTCAACCTTCAACCTCCGTCCTCCACCCTCCATCCTCCAACCTCCCTCTCCATTGCCTATATCGCATCCATCGCCGAGGTATCGTTCCTGATACACCATGGAATCTCCACAGGACAAGCAATGGGTGAGTGCGTCTCAACTGCAACAACTGCAAGATATACATCAATACAGAACAGCATTCCAGCTCGACATTTACGAAAACCGCTGCTGTTCAACGCAGGATGCATGCTTCATCTACTGATCCCTTCACCAGGCCCAGAAATACCTCCTCGGTCCTCTCAATGAGCCTGAGCCCAGCGAGGAAACTGGCCCTGGAACGCACTTCACTTCTTCCGTCCCCAGATCCAGATCCAGCTCGTCCACGTCAAAGTCGCCCGCAACTGCGAGTACCTCCAAGGGTCCTTTCGTCTCAGCCTATTTGACTCCTCCGCAATCTGCCAGTCCTACCAGATCTTCCTTTCACCCATCAAACCCATATGGACCCGGCCGGAAAATCTCGGGCGAGCATTCAGACAACGCAAACGGTAAGGGGCGGAGAAGAAACAGTGAGTCGCTACCTTCCATCATGTCGGATTCAATCTGACCCAAATCTAGGCTCGCTAGGACAACGATTCCCCGGAGACATGTCTCACCGACCCCTCGATCAGTTGCGGAAGGAGGAGAAAGCTGCACGCAGATCACCTCATCTCAGGAAAAAACATCAGCCTGGAGCCGATTGCATTGATAAGCTCGACAGAACCATGTTCGGACTGTACCACCACGAGGGCCCATACGATGCTACATTGATGGCAAGAAACAGAAGCTCCAAGATTTCACCTGTTGAAGCCGTTCGGGAAACCAATGCGGAAGCTATCAAGGCAACCCCACAGGAATATATCAGGGACTCCTTGACCAAGCATGTGCCATTGCAAGGAACCTCTCTCATTCCACCAGGGATGGTTTCATGGGACGGAAAGAAGATGGTGTATGAGGAAGGAGCTGATCTGATGCGAGAGCCCGATGCTGCAGGCGGTAAGAAGCCGACTTTCTGTCTGAATTCATCTCCATGCTAAACCGAATTCAGGCGCTTACAAGAGATGGGACCACGTGAAGTATCTCCCTGAGGATCTCAAAGGAAAAGGCGAGCCATCTTACTCCATTGAGAAGGCCTTGAAAGAGCAAAAAGACAGAAGAGCCCGAAACGGCATGTCAGACGAGCCCCAATCTTTCGAAATGCAACCGCCCAAGCACAGACCCGCGAACGGTAGCCGTCAACGAAGCGTCAGCGGGAATCATGAAGACTTCAGAAGAGGTGCCGGGAGACTGCCTGGCAGCTTTTTAAGGGCCCCAGAGTCCAATGATATGAACCGCTCGAACTCGACCGGTCGAAGAATTGGTGAAGGGTTGAAGAAGAGGTTTGGGAATTTTAGAACCAATAAGCACCAATCTGAAGCTTAAGGTGGAAACTGAGCGAGGAAGAGGAGAAGATCGAAAACGATATACGACCACAGTATAATTAGCTACATACTGTAACTTCAGCGACAATAGACATGGACTGGGAAAGGCTTCAAATGTATAATACGGGTAATGAGGCAAATGAAACGAACATATTTTCTTTTCGACATGATTGTTGGCTCTGTCTTTACATTTTCCTCATTGCGTGAACTCTTCCAGCTTCCGTTGTGACATCAGCTGTATAAACATTTCTTCTGTTATCACACCGTGCCGAACCAACTCGGACATTGAAAGTCGAAAGTAGTCGTTACAGAGCTCCCAGGAGTTACGTACCCCAGCCACGGAATCTTCCTCACCAGCTCCCCTCCTCCCGCATTCCCGAACGCCTCAAGAGCCGAACCAGGTATCCTTTAGCTCTACCTCATTCAGCACAAAACACAGAAGGAAGAGTAACATACATGTCGAGACCTGAGTTAAAAAAAAGAAAGGCCCACTTCCAAGTCTCGAGTCATCGTCATATTCATACCCGATACCTGTAATCTTGCATTTGGTCTATAGCGACTGTTAACGGGAAGTTCAGTCTGATCTGATCTGATCTGATCTGATTCTGAGCTGAGCTGAGCTGAGCTGAGCTGAGCTGAGAGGCCTGATGCCACTACACACCTAGGTACCTAGCTACCTACCTAGGGAGGAAGGGAGAGAAAGGGATGGGATACGATAGCTCGGCTCAGGTGAAGAGAGAATCTGGACCACGGACGAGCCCGAAGCAACGACGATGAGGAATGGGATCAAACAAGAAGCGCAAGATTCAAAGATGGTATTAGTATGGGAGACACTGCGTCCCAAACCTGAGTGGGATATGGACTCGGTTCCCCTGCCGCAGGAATATACCAACCGACGCCCATGGACCGGTACATCGTGGTGTGTCCAAATCCCCACCCACTTTTCTCCCGCTCCCGAGCAAAAAAAGAACGGACCGGACATATGAAGTTGGATTGTCGTTCGGGAAGAATGTTTGTCGCTCAAGAATAGAACTGGCTCTTTTGGAAACTCTCCACGCTCATGTCACCCGCCTTCCCTGCCGGGACAGCCGGCGCTTTCGTCTGGCTCGTAATACTGTTCGTCCTGCTCCCACTCTGACTCGCGCTCTTGATTTCGGCAACTGGCATACCTGGCCGTTTGGCAACTTCGAGGTAGACACCGGGAAGATATCCCATGCGGCCGTCGCGGGCGCGACATCTCCACCATTCGCTGGGGTTACCCATTGGGTCACTCTTGCTCAATACAGCCACCAGATCGCCCTTCTTTACCTCTAGATCAATGCCCTGTACCGCCGCTCCAGCCTCAGGCGTGAAGTCGTACAGGACCCTGCAGAAATCGAGCTTTGAAGGGTCGATCTGCACAGGTATCGGTTGGCCGTCAGGGCCGATTTGCATCTGGCCCGAAGCTGCTAGTCTACGCTGCTCTTCCTCTTGCGATGCCGCCAGCGCTTTGATGAGCTTGCCCATCAGATATGGGAGGCCGAAAGCTGCAGCTAGGAAGAAGATGAAGGGTTTCTTGCTTGGGCGAGGAGTTTGGGCCGGAGAGCCGTCTGGGTGGAATTTCCGTCCTTCGAAGGAGGCAAATGCGCTCGGCGTTAGGGCCATGGCATCTGCTGGAGGTGGCCGTCCTGTTATTCTGGCAAAAAGCGTGCGTAGCCAGCGCATCAGGGTGAAGATGCCTAAGATCGATCCGAGTGTGTTTCTGAGGTTTCCAAACTGCTCTGCAACGGAGACCATGGCTGCAGCTGTCAGCAATGCTGTATATGGAGCAGTTTTGAGAGCAGAACATACCATAGAAACTGGAGTGGGTAGCCATGTACGTGCTCTCCAGCATCTGAGCAAATCCTCCAAAGGCGCCCACTATACCCTCAATGATCTGGAACGTTGCCTGCGTGTTCTGTGTGAACCCATTCGTCAAGCTATTCGGATCATTAGGGTCTCCCTGCATACCCCCCATCCCACCATACATCCCACCTCCCATCCCTCCATACATGCCTCCTATTCCTCCCATGCCTCCCATGCCACCGTACATGCTCGATCCATATCCGCCATATCCCATTCCACCCATGCCTCCCATCCTCGAGTACGGTGACGAGTATGCAGAGCCCATCCCTCCAAAAGGAGATGCTACACCACCCATCCTGTTTGCGTTGTACGGGGAGTATGCAGATGCGTTTCTGTTGACTGCGGATGTGAGGGAAGACGGCCGTTCAGGGACTGCAGGCGCTCCAGGAGCTCCGGTTGATAAGGGATCCGTTACTGGATTTCCTATTACTGATCCCGCGGATGATCCCACAGCTGCGAGTTGTCCACCGTCAGCGCATGTCTCTGTGGACGAGGAGAGATGCTTGGGGAGACGAACCTGTGCTGCCGACACCTCCAGCTCCGGCACGCTCCCACGGCTTCGGGGGTGATACTGTCGCCATTCTCTCGCCTTCGCAGCTCTCCTCTGCCTTCAAGGCCTCGACCAACTGGGTGGTGGGCTTATCTTCTGGATAGTGCTGGTGGTGTTGAATATCCTGGGCGCAAGCTTGTTATGTGACGCTCTGGAGGCGAAAATGCCGAGAATCTCAAGAAAGTATTTGCGGGGTCGGATGACAAAACAAAACAAAAAAAAAGCAAAACAGAATAAGGCTCAGTCAACAATTGAGAGGAATCAACAATAAAATTTTCGTAAACTGCCGTCTCTTGATGATGTTGGATCGTCTGGAAGTACGATGATCTATCCACTTCTTGCGCTGCTAAGTTCAAGTCTCACGGAGGTTGGGAATATGCCTCGGCTCAAGCGATATCCCCATGTCAAAAAGGGTCTAACGGAGCACAGAAATCCAGAAATCCGGGGATACGAATGGGTCCTTTTTCGATCAATTTGTTTGTAGCATTTCTTTTCAAGAGTAAGACTTCACAGGCGCTACGAGACGGATAGCTCATATTCACTTTCATATTCTCGAGCCAAAATACTTCGGAGTGTTTGTTGCCACAAAGTCCTTTGGAGTAGTCAACCTACCTATCCGTCATGATCTACGGAGGTATCGAGTCAGCAACTTACCAAAAGAGCAAGCCTGTATCTCGAATCATGGATATATTGCTCGATATGAGCCTTGGAGTTAGAATAGAGGATTCTGTTGGTTGTGCTCTTGAATATCGGGAAGCAAATGATGATTAATGTCTCAGCGGGATCAGGCAGGTTATGAAAATATTCAATGGGAAATCTTTGCCCTACAAGATGAGTTTCTAATGAGATGAGTTCTAATGTGCAATTGACGAGATTATCTAGGATCGCCAGCAATCTCCCAAGTATCCCAATCAACGGTTTCCATCGAACGTAGCTCTAGAGGGCTAAACCAGCATTGGGCCCATAAATCCAACTCATCGTCGTTTACCGAGTCAATTGGGGTAACCATTTGCAGAATGTCAGAGCTTTCTATGGTATATGAGAAGCGCAATGCCGTCTTCGGGTCTGGCACTATTGACTCGATGTACCGGTACTTCATAATAGCCTCTTCTTCTCCGGACGTCAAATAATGTTTCTGTCTTTTACCATTCGAAGTTAATTTCTCGTATTCCTTTGGGATCCATGCTTTGCTAACATCTTTCATCTTGTCACTGTCCGCTTCGATGACACAATACCATTTATCAGCATCAGCCTCCTAACCAGCAGGTACGTTTACTATTTAAATTATTAGCTCCGCGTAACTAAGTGACGATCTATAAACCAACATACCCAAATTAAAGCCCCGTCCTAATTGATTAACGTGTGTTGAGCCTGGGAGATCGAATGCCTTATCTCTAGAAAGCCTATTGTTCATATTGATATCCGAAGCTTCGTCCTATAATTTGCGTAATTAGTATAAGCTTATATTATACGGATATAAATGAATTAAGTAAAATTCACTGCGGAGACTGTTCGATAGCCAACGATTCCTCTTCTTTCGCCTTGAGCTCTACTGAAAGAAAGCTCAAGGCTAGCGAAATCGAGAAGATAGATTGCGATAATAATATCATGTTTGTAGATAATTGATCTTAGCCGAAGGCCTGAAACCCCGACCTGCCGTCCGTCGGGGCTCTGCGGAGTGAGAGCGATACATTTTCGAACTCTGGAGCTACTCATTCTACGCCATCCAAATCAGAGACCCCTTTTATAGCTTCCAAGGTACGTGTTCACCCGTCTTGTCTCTGACTTTTGGGTTTCGCTTCTCTCGAAAATGGAGATCCAGAGAGATGAGCAAAACCTGTGCTAACTTTCATCAAAGTGGATTGTAGGTTGGCAGACTCCGACGTCAATGATTGTATCTTATGCTTGTGGTATTTTCTCCAGCCAACAATAACAATAAAGCATTATACTGATGATAATAGCTCTGGCAATCGCTATTACCCATCCCACACTGTTTCGGTACATTGATGGCAAGGAAGCGGATGGGCCAACTCAAATCAACCCTCAAGGATACGTCACAACAACTTCAAATGTTCTAGCCAATGCTTTCGGTTTTGCAATGAGAGCATCTCTGGCTGTTGGTTGCGTTCCCGCGACAATAAAATGATGGCAATATTCGGATCTCTGATGTCTTGGACGAATGGTACATTTCTAGCCTTTCTGGCAGATGGCGAAAACCGGACAACTATTATGGACTTTGGAGTAACATATTCATCGTACAAGCTTCAATGGGACGAGCAGCTTCGGACATAACCGACTACTGGAATCTCAAAGAGCCCTAGAGGTACTTTCTAAAACCTGTCTCCCCAATCCATCGCTCTGCCAATTTACGAAGCCCAATTTGGAACAGTGATTGACAGCACTCGCTTCAATGACGTTTTTGGCCGCTTCTCTCCATCTGAGAGCTCCCATCTCGCATTCAACATCACGCAAGATGTTTTGAATAAATACATCTTCAACATGACAACTTCCATCCTGATAGCTTATGGAACATGGGATACTCGCGCCAATGCTATAAGGCTGACTAATGTCAAAATATACAAATTCTCATAGCCACTAAGCCTGCTTTTGCCATACTTTATCACTTTAGTTGTATCTTTGCCCTTTATTGCCCTTTATTATTATTCAGGGAACGCTTTCGCTATTCAGGAATGCGGTCTCGGCTATGGATGGAAGCTTCACCCAGATCATCACAACCTCCACGGGGAGTGTGACGCTAGAAAAAGCAGCGTATGTATTGGTTTATAACTTTATATCCTTTCTCTTGAAATTGAGGTTCCCAGCGCTAATACTTCGAAGTGCTGGTGGATGCCTAGGCGGAAATGAGAGCATGCCAAAGGAACTCAAAGACTTGGTGATCAAGTTCGGGGAGTTTATTGGTAGAGATGAGCCTGGAGTGATAAAACGTGCTGGGTTTGGGGTCGAGGGAGAGATAAAGGATTTGGAGAAAGGTACCAACAACGGAGTCGCAAGATAATCCTAGGTACCAACCATCAATGGAATCCAGTTTGAACAAGGGAATGAGTGTAGCATACTGTAAGATCTAAACATCGCAGAGGCGATCAAGTAAGTTTTTATTTCGACTCATCTTAAACCTGCCAACTTTCGAAATGCATTTAAAGCTTCCTGACTATCTTTCCTAATTTAAGAGCAAAGAACTTCTTAACTAACATTACTGCAGCTGCCAAAGGAAAAGTAGTAGCTTGGTTGCTTTGCTCTTTTATAGGGCATCTTGAAGTGCACCTTAGTGCTTTCTTCGACTGAGATTCTTGGCTCCACATTCTGGTTTTCGAGACTTCTCAATGGAGCCACCCCATGCCGACTCAGCAACGAGTCAGCAGAGTTTTCAAACCAAAGCCTTCAGACTTGGAGTAATGCAATTGCAGCACCACCATTGCAATTTATGTGCAAGAACGACACACTCCCAACTTTCCTCGCCTCCTTTCCTCCACGGAGCTAGTCCGGTCTTGCCTCGAGCCTATCTTTCACGAATACTCGAACATTCAGCTGTCCAGGTTCGCAAGGTGACACGACGAGGGGAATATATACGCACCATCAGGAACCCACACTGCGATAGTTCTTCCCACAACTACCGCAGTAGAGTGCTTTGGTATGTAATAGTTGCAGAGCCGTTTGATGGCACACAGAGAGAGAAAGCACCAATGGGGGCACAACAGGCCTGAACTGTTAGGTACGTCCATTCCCCCAAAAGCGAAGCATACTGTAAAGTATATGCTGCTTGCCAGCCGGAGGGAAGAACTAACTTCCTCGTCGATGTTTCTTAGGTGGAAAGTCTCTCGAATTCGGCCACTTCAGAGCTGCGTGCCTTGCGTCCTTCAAGCCTTGCCCTTCCACAGGGACCGCACATTTCTACACGAAAACCAGCATAGTTCAAGGAGTGTAACAAGCACAGGCAGGAGACTGGATGCTTCTCCTACCATGCTATATCAGATTGTACATCGCAGAGCTCCTCTCCTTGAGGAGGCTTTCACGATCGTTCTGAATAAATAGTAAGATACCTTCCACATCCTTTCCGAAGACGGTAAAGCACCTAGGAGCGTTGGAGCTACTTCACAGCTGGAGGAAATTACCGATACACTCTTTGAAAATGTAGGAACACACGATCGAAAGAACCGCCAGCCTCATCCGAGCTCAAGGAGATCAGAGCCCACGAATACCTTGCACAAGATGCTAGCAACGTACATCTATGATGCAGAGCCTCGCCTACATCATAGACATACACACACAGACTTCCATTGACCCTGGAGGACAGCCCGCGAGGGAACGATACTGAGACAAGCGCTTTTTTCAATTCTGCTGTGGCAGCCATACATGTCGGGGCTCTTATCACCAAGGAGGCTTTCGCAATTGCTCGACAAAGTGAGGTACCCCTAAGATATCAGAGCACTCAGCAAGGTCCGAGCTACTTGCCACAGAATCTACTCGCGTACTCATTGGTCTGGCTCAGGAACACTCTTTCCAGATACCTGCCAGCCTGGCTCTAAATTGAGGCTATAGGAACACACGAATGTCGCTCGGCTCCTAGCATCGTATATCTTCGCGGGATGTAGAGCTACTTTCTTCAATGGACACAAAACAGGGTACCACATAAACCATCATATCCTAGAAAGTGGGAACCAGTGCTCAGAGCAACAACCTCGGAACCAGTGCACCTTATGTTGCGACAGCCATCGGTAGTCGGACCATATGTGATCCACGATGCCTTCAATAAGTTAAGGAACATCCATACCCCAAGAGTTTCTATTGAGATAAAAGCTGACTTCTATCCGCTCCTTGACAGGATCAGTTACTGCGCATGCCTTTACAAATGGTCCGAGATAAAAGCATTCAGACACAACCTCACCTCACACCTTTCGATTCTCAAGCTATCTTGGAATGCAATATCAACCCCACAAACGAATATACGAAACGCCACTATAACAGAGTGCCAGATCCATAATCCACAGTGGAATATTGGGAGCCGAGCTTGCAACATACTCTGCCGTGGAAGATTCGCTGGCCACTCAATTCTCCCCCCTAGAAGGCTTGCCAACAGAGTCACAGCATGCCACGAAAAGCTCTCGCATAGGCTTGTGTGGCAATGCACGATTACGCTTTGTGCCAGTTGCCTCGATGAGTACGAGTAGTTTCGCTAACTGTAGAAAGTCGTGGTCGCCTCACAGCAAAACACGCTTTGCTAGACATCCGAACGACACCGCTTTACAACAAGGGTCTTATGATACAGTCACTAGAGCAGCAACACAATAATGGGAGATCGAGATTTTCTAATCGGGAACCCAGAGCAAACAAATGCAACACGGCGATGCGACAAGAAGATACAACAAAAATTGCAAATCGAATGAAGCTTGACCAATTCCTAAATTCAAGAGACCAACAACGATGGGCAGTTAGACATTCAAATTTAAACAGCCTTCATGGAGCCGACACCACAAGACCAAAATCAGACTCACTCGGCCACTGAGCCACTCTGGGATCCGAATTTCTTAAAGGAATACCGCACATCACCATCAATCTCCTGGCTGAGTTTGGTGATTAGACTAGGACCAGAATATTCCGGCCGTTGTGGAACCTAGAATTCGGCCGAGGAACACTTGTTATCCATTGCTATCAAACCCATTCGGTGAGTCTTAGCTACGAGACCGGAGGAAGACCAACTCCGTTATTCTGGAACCTGGACCTCGATCAAAGAATCCTACCCCCCAGTGTCTTCAGACATTGAGACGATAATTTCAAATGAGAAAACATCAAAATCTTTTCCACAAGGGAACCCCGACTTCGGGGAACATGATTCTTATATCAATGTCACTTGGACTACTGCTCAGTTGAAGTGAAGTGATAACTTTGAGAAATCAAATTTATTCATTGAGGAGCCATCGCCTGTCAATCTAGACTGGACGCGCCGCAAAATCACTTCAGAAGCTGAATATATTCACGCGAAAGCACTGATCCAGGAGCCAGTCCTCCACCATGTTTACACAGCAGCCAGAGGGATCCTAGGGCGAGGAGCTAGATGATATCCGGAAGCTGATCAAGCGAAATGTGCGATATTGAAATCAGACTTGGACAGCTCAACTGAAGCTGTGACTGCGTCAAGATAGTCGCTCGTGAGTTCAGTGGGGAAGGCCAGGTTGTCAACCCGGGCAATGAAGACTGTATCGTCTCGCAATGTCACCAGATAGGTAACTGTGGTCTCCGTGGGTCGAGCAAAGTAGTCTGAATCTCCACCTGGGTTGTGGTCATGGATAGTCGACTTGAGCTTAAGTGAGCCCTTGTCCAGAGCCTCAGCAATATCAATCCTGAAGAGAGACATTAGTTTTGATTTAAGAAGAAATCAAACTAGAACTATCACTTACTCTCCACAGTTAGACCAGCACGAACAGTTCATATACATAGCTGTGCGAGGGATCTTTGCGTTAAGAAGCCAGATCGCAGGTGTATCGCCTTGGAAACCACGGTTACCGTCAAGAGGCATCTGGAATTCAATGAGGAAAGCTCTAGCCTCTCCGACAAACCCACCTGGAGAAAGTTAAATGAAGCCACAACCAAGAAACGGGTAGTGGGGTCAGCACGTACGATATGCCACAGCTCCGGGACGAACATATCCGCAATTTTTGTCACATTTCTCCGCCGTGAAGATACTGATCTCATGACTTGAAGGAATAATGGTGTCCTCGAGGACCTCTGGATATGCGGATCCACTAATGCCTTTGCTATCCACGTATGATTGAGAGGCACCGAAGTGGCTTCAAACCGTCAGTCAGCTGTCAAAGTTCATTACTAATTTCCCGGAGTCAAACATACTGGTCAAAGACACCCGAATGAGCTCCACCGTGGTTGCCCAAGAATACGACATTATCAGCAACCTGGGATTCCGCATTATAATACGAGACTCTCTTGAACGAATGCTTGGACTTGGCAATCTCCTTATTCTCAGCTACAGAGGCGGCGTCGGGATAGGTTGTCTTCGGTTCAGCTAGCATGGGTCAGCAACTATTCAAAATGATTATTAGAGTGCGGGTGCCGATTGGACTGTGATAGAAAAAGCAGGGGGACCAACCAATTTTATCCAGGGAGAAGCCATCAGCTTTACCAGTAGGAATTGCGCTGCTAACGGGGCAGATCGTTGTTGTCACAGTCACCAGACTAGTTCGGCCTCCCACCGGGTTTGGAGTATAATAGCCTGCCGTATCAGCGGTCCACGACACTACCTCTCCATCGATAGTCGCGAGGATCTTATCCCGCTTCTGCGGGTCATGCCGATGATGAAGCTGTGCATGGCCAAAGTGAAGGCTACGCTTAGCCACCTTTGAAGGACCTTGGATATTATAGGCGGCGAATTGCTTCAAAGCGACCGGGCCACGAACGTGCAAGGAGAGCTGCATAGATCCATTGTCAGCAACCGATGTTGGGTATGCTTGCAAGAGGGGTATGAGCAAAAAAGATTTATTCTTACCTCATCATTGAAGGGGGCGAGAGGGCCACGGAAGTGGGTGACCTTTGTTTGGCAAGTACCGTCACTGCCCATATGGACAACCTCGTTGTATGTGCCGGTAAGGCCTACGTTGTGATATTTGATTGCGCTAACTTCTTCACAGAACCAGTTGCCCCCCAATTCTGTCGCGCCCTTGGCGCATTGATCAGCACCTACTCCGGATAGGAAGCCAACTGCCATGATGGCAAGACCAAGAAGCAGCTGGAGGGCCTTCATCGTGACGTTGGCGATGCCGATGCCGACGGCGGATGTGGATATGGTTTGGAGATTCGATCTAGCCGACGAGGATTTGAAGGGAATCTGGAATTTGACTGTGACCGAAGCCCAGTCGTGGAGGAATGAGAGAGGACACAAGATATTGTCGTTGAAAGAGGGTGGCGCACAAGTGCGCAATTGATGCTGAGAGGAGAAGATGTTTATGAGAGGTGGAAAGGGAGATGTCGACGATGTGCATCGGAGAAGAGGTTGCTTTTTGAATTGTGATGATTTTGACAGTGGGTGAGCTTTCCGAGCTAGTGACTGGAGAGGCTTAGCGCTGAATTGTCACCGTCAAACAGGCAGGAGCAGCTAACGCCGAAAACCGGCAGTATTGTGGGTGACGGGGGACTGTGTTGAGGCATCGCTGTCTCCCCGTCGTCTTGAATGAACATGCGGACAGCCAGACGACAACATCCTTTGTTTGACCTTGTGCCAACGCCAGCGTGCAGGCTGGGAGCTGGGAGCTGGGAGCCGGGAGCCGGGAGCCGGGAGTCTGTCGACGGAGGCCAGCCTGCTATGCTATAGCTCTTCCTCCATCATGAGGTGGGTGCTGTAAGAGGGACTTCTCAGAGGGAGAGAACTCGCTTTTATGCTTCTCTCTGCGCCTCTCTATTCAGTCAACAGGGAAAGAACACTCTCAGATAATACTCAAAGGACCAAGAAGGAACGATATGGAGTGAATGAACAGTCCAAGAAGGAAGACAGCAGATCGAGGCATGCTATATAGGAAAGGAGCCGGCAAGTTCTGTACGCTCGCAATCAGATTTTGGAATAGCAGAACCTCCCTCCAATACAGACTGGCTAACTGGCTTCCTGAATAGTATCTGACCGAGGTTGGAGCAAAGTAACAACTACCACACAACGAGTTTACACTATAGCTCCACCGAAACATGTCTGCGGAAGTGGTCTTTCTGCCTTCTTGAACTCCCGGGCCTTACTACAAGCGTGGCGAGAGCAGATATGTTGGACTCGGAGTCATGTGGATCTGCACAGCATTCCAGTACGGACTGCTCGTTGCAAGACTGCATTGGCTTCCTTACCGAAGGTTCAGAGAAAGGCTACAGAAGACGCGAGAATACCCTCTGCCTAGTGGCTGGCTCCTCTGCACTTGCACGATCAAGGAGCGGCCAGAAACCAAAAGCTGATTAGGTTTTGGCGTTTTTAGAAATTCAACGCACTACCATTACAAAACGACATTTGATATTCGCGGAAAGTAAGAAGTCCCTTGTCTCTGTACTCCTCGGCCTTTTCAAAAACGTTTATTTTTCAAGATTAACTAATATTTACAAGGAATAGAATATCTTTAAATATACACGAACCCATTCAGACATATCCCTCTAAGATACAGGCACATGTCCACCCATCTTTGTCGTTAAATGCATGGTTTTTCCGGGAACGTAACAACTTCCGTCACTGCCTCCGATTGGGGTATACTCCTTGAGCCAGAAGTTCTGGGTACGGTCGCTGACGCATTCGACCTCCTCAGAGGAGATGGTCATGTCATAGTTGTTACCACCAGAGCTCATGATAGCAGAGAGGTTGTAGCCACTACCAGTGGGCACAAAGTTGGCCTCACCCCATGACTCGGCGAATGCACCTGACATATGGTAGTTGTCTGTCGCTTGAGCCCATGCGACCTGAGAGTTCTCCTGGATTGCAACGGTCTGGGACTCGCCAGGCTTGAGAACGAATGTGAGGGTGGTGTTCTTGGGAGCAAGAGATGGCCCTGATTGCGGCATGAGATCTGGGCCGACCTTGTTCCAGAGGTTGATGGTTATGGTCTCCGACCCGGTGTTGATGAAGGTGTTGGTGAAGTCGTATCCTGATTTGGAGTCGACCTTCATGACATTGTGCCCGTATGGATTTCCGTAGTTTCCTACGTATTTGTCACCAATGGTCAAGGGACCAGTCACCATGTTTGATGCCACAACTTCGCCGAAGCTGGTTATCTTGTTGGCACAACCTTCCACGCCATTAAAGAGATCCTGAAGGTCATCGAGGGCGCTGGATACGGCATAGCCATCGCTAACTAGGTCTGATACCTTTTTTGCCGGGGTCGACGACTGTTTGTACGTGGCCGGGACAGGAGAAACTTTCGCAGGGGCGACTTCGGGAGCTGACGCGGGGGCAGCAGCGACATAAGGGGTTGGGACAGCGGCGGGCTCTACGGAGGAAGTTGGAACATCCGTTTTGTAGCCGGTCTTCCCGGCTTTTCCATTCGCGTATGCCTCTTCCCAGTCGATGTCCATGTTTTTCCAATCGAGACTTTCCCAGTCGACACTGCAGACTTGTTAGATGCATTCGGTTTTGTTCCAACACGGAGCAGCTTACGACTTCTTTTGGTGAGCTCGCTTGTGGAGATGGCCATGAACAGGTCCAGCGACGGCGTCGCCGATGAGGACGGCCATCATCAATCCGGACACCGCTGAGCAACGCATCTTGAAAATATTTCTGATAGAATACGATATACACTGGTTGTTGAAACTCGGATTTGGAGATTCGAGCAGTAGGTATGTTGAAAGAAAATGAGGTTTAATGCCGTCAACGCACGCAAGGGGTGAGAAGGGCGAGCTGAAGTTGATGGAAGGAGTGTGTGAGCGATGTGTAGCTCAAGATTGGCAAGCAAAAAGAGAGCGATGCGAATGGAAGTGAAGGTGTTCAACGCCGACCTTTTGTCCTCTTGCGGATGGAAGGGGAGACGAAAGAAGAGGGAGTCCGAGGGCTGGCGTACATAATATGCTGGGACGGGTGTGGGTGGAACTGCAGTGGGATGGATCGATCAATCTCAGGGGATATGAGCTGGGCACGCGAGGAATGCAGGGGTCAAATTGAGATTGAGATGAGCCACGCTGGTCTGGTCTGGGCCGTCAGGGGGTTGCTTGTCGGGGGCTGTCAGGTTGTCCCAATCAGATGGCTGTGTTCACCAAGACGCGTACCTGACTGGGGCCCCTGACAGCTTGAGCCATGGCTCTCGCGCTCTCCTCAGTTGTCTGGACCGACATCTTCGTTGCCACTACTACGGCCACTACCGCAGGGCTCGGACCTTGGGGATCGGGGGCACCAGGGGCACCAGGGGCACTAGGGGCACTAGGGGCACTAGGAGCAATCCATTCTAAAACCCAGTGGATCGGCCGCCCTCGAGTCCTCAAGCGCTTTGTTGATCACAACATACTACGTTCAGTATCGTTTCATGCTCGGGACTCTCGATGATTCGAGCCACGACAAAACGACAAGCACTTACGACTACGGAGCAGCAAGCAATACAGTACCTACTGTCTTGAAGCCTCCCTCACGGACCAAAGGAACGTGCGCCGTCAGTCCGAGCAGGTGCTGTGAGCAGTCACTGAGCATACGGAGAAGCGAAGCCCCATCTGGAAAGATACCCGTTTCTACTACTTACAACTACTCAAAAGCCCGTGGCAACTCTTACTTCTTCACATGCAAGAAGCCAAAGAGACCCATCCGGACAAGTCTACCGAATCACCAGATTCTCTATTCTACCGGTACATCTCAACAAGAAGCTTTGCATGCTGACTCGACGTCCTTCAGAGTCCCTGCCTCTCGGATACCTCCCTCCATCGCTGTGCGGCATTGTTAGGTTAGCGTGGCCTACGGAGTACGTATACTACAGTATAGAGAATAGTTGTACCGGTCCCGGTACTCTGTATGTTGTTCTGTCATAACACGCGAGTGTTTTGTTCTCGGTTACACACAGACTACCCCTAGGCGACGCCCATTCCCCATAATGCGGTGCGGTCCTGGTCTAGAACACGGCGCGGTGGCGGCGGCGGCGGGTCAGGGCACATCATAGTAGGTACCTACCGGTACATCACAGTATCGCGTTTACTCTGTACTCTGTACTCTGTACCGGTACCGGTACCGGTATGTCCAGCCTGTCCAGGCACATCACCGGCTGCGCAGAAATCGGCATCAAATGGCTCCAGCCCATTGGTTGTCGGCGGTGCTACAGTGTGCAGCTTATGCATATTGTGCAGACAGAGATTTTATGCTGCAGATGGTTTACAAATACTCTTGTGAGCTGACGAGTCGGTCTGGTTACAAATTGCGTCTTGTTTTTGACTTGGTATTTATTTCACGGCTGGTTCTGCTGGGGTGGAGAGGGATTTATTTTTTTTTTTNTTTTTTTTTTTTTTTAAATGCCCGCATCTGCTTATCTCCCTTCCCATTGAAACGCAGGGCAGGACCCAAGGGTGGCACGGCTAGATTTTTCCGCTAGTTATACTTTGGCTCGTGCCACCGTGGCCACTCATCTTCAACAGTACAAGTACTCTGTACCTGCAGATGCTCGGAAAGTGCAGAGAGTCGGGACTCAGAAGTCGCGGCAGACGGGGAGAGAAGAGGAGGTGGGCGTTCGTCCGGAAATTCCATCGGCACATTCGTTCGGCGTTCCTGTCCGTACCCGGTCCACGTCACCTACTCTATTGTAACGTATCTTTTGGCTCCGAGTGCTGGACCGTACGTACTACGTACGTAGTCCTTCTACACGCCGTACCTTTGTCTGTACGTTTCGGCGCGACCCCACGGCGACCGCGTGGCCTGCATGGCCCATCAAGGAATTGGCTCTGCTTCCACGGCGCTGGGAGACCCGAATGCTGTCCTGCGAACCACGAGACTTGGGAGTATACTACCTACCTACGTACCCGTATGTGTTGCTAGACCTTGGACTTGTCGCTGGTAAGGGCCATCGGCCGCTGAGACCGGCCACCCTTCCGCGTCGTCGAGCACTAGCTTGGCTGCGCCGACGCCAATAAGCGCCATACCGACGCCGCCAAGGCCGGAACGCGAGTCTACAACTATGGTCTGGTACGTAAGTATATTTCTACGGAGAAGGCTGATACTTAGAGAGTCAAGAAAAGGCTATCGGAAGTCATACCGCTTTTAGAGTTAAATCTCTATCTAGCTAGACTAATATCAAACAAATACTACCCTCATCTACAAGACTATAAAGCTTGTTATTTTAGATTAATGCTACTTTTAAATCGGCTTTTAGCTTTTCGTTGTATATTTTTAAAATTGGTACGTAGTATATCGTTATCAATTCTCCGCTTTGCACCCCCCTCCCCGCGATTGCTACTTAAGTATTGATCTCACTGAAAGCTTCGAAGGCTTTTAGAGGATAGCGTTGTTCTCTACAGATGAAAGAATTGATGAGATCAGGTGAGCAATTCATCTCAAACCCCCAAAACAAAAGATTGGTGTCCAAGATGGAAAGGAGTCCCAAAGGGGGCGCGATGCTGGGATCGATCGAGTCCAGACGGAGATGGCCAGATTGTAAAAACCCCATCTATAGATTGATCATAGACAGAGAGCGTCATCAGATCTTGCCCATAGTCCGACTATTTCATCCGATATTATTTTTTGCACAACTCTTCATATAGTCAGTCAGGCGTACTTCGCACTTCGTATATACACATATATATATTATTACTACTAATTGTGGCGACGGCAACGGGGGCGTTGGCGCAGCAGCACCTCTCCCTCCCTCTCTCTCTCTCTCCCCGTTGCCGCTTCCGCGTACCGTCGCTTCTTCTTCTTTGGTTATCGTTCAGCTGCGTGCATGCAAATACCCAGCGGCAAATAAATAGATGAGCAGCCGCACCAGCACCACCATCAGCACTTATTTTGGTCTCAGGTTTGTACACTGTGTACCGGTCGTTTCTATATTTGTGAAAGCATAGATGGGTACGTACTTAGAGTTGCGCAGTTGTGCAGCTCATTAAATGAAATAGGTAGTGTTATGTGCCAAATCAAGCACAAGAGCGAGAGACGGGCAGAAATGGGACGGGGGGTCAATGCGGGGGTTATAAATAGTTTTGTGTACTTTTGTGAAGATTTGATCTGACGTGGTTGTACAACGATGTGTACGGATGTGTGAGATGGTGATGGGCATGGAGATGCGAGATGCGAGAGCTGAAGTGGCCGCGCTGCGCTGAGCTGGGAAAAAAAAAATCGAGGATCGGCGAGGCTTTTTTTTTTATTTCTGGATGGTTGGCTGGTTGACGTACTCGCATCCGGTTAATGTAGCGAGACAGATTGTGTTGTCGATCGATATATGCATATATGCATATATGTCTGTCTGTCTGTATGTATATCGTGCATCGCGGCTCGCCCGACGATGGTTCGCCCACCGGTGTAACGAGCGAAACTCCTCTTCCTTGACCTGTAGAACTTCTCCTCTCTACCCCGTCGCATCCTACCCAGGAGTAGGTAGATCTCCAACTCGTTCACGATGGAGAAAGTTCAAGGCCGGAAAGAGTTTTCCCCAAACACACTCACACACAAACACACACATACACATGTGTATATATAGATATACTTAGACTTCCATCTTAAAATAACAAATTGTCCGGACAATCCAGAACTCTCACGTCGGCTGCAGCAGTCGATGATCAACTTCTCACTCAGATCAAGTTCTTAACCTGGGGAGGTGCAAGAAAAAGGCTATTGAAAGTTGCCCTCTCCAAGCGTTACAGAGAGGACGTCCACCACCCAGGCGCCCAACCATCAAGTGAGCGTGGTGCCCACACGAGGGAACAACGGTCTGAGGTGGTGTATCACAAATGCATACGATCTGTAGCGGTTCGCTTAGGACTCTGTTTACTCGCTTGTTTATTGTGTGTCTTAATAAATTTTTGGGGGGGGGAGGGGGGTGGTGGGCGTTTCTGCTTTCACTTCTTCGGTCTTCTTCGAACATGCTACACCTAGCCAGCCTCGATACATGTCTGGCGTCGTTCTACCACGCGCAATCGCTCAGCATTCTAGGCGTGCGCTTCACCTCGAAAAAAGGCTTTCTGGGCCTGTCTGGTATGCAACAACTTCTTTGGCTTAGCACGTCGCCGTACCTCGTGGGAGGGCCCCAGGGCGGCAGGCTGCCAACCGCCTGATGTAAATAAACGCAACAGCAACAATAACAGCAACAATAACAGCAACAACCACAACAACAACAACAACAACAACAGAACAACCCCCCACCTCCCCACCCCAATATATATATATATTTTTTTTAATTGACTACAGTACCCACCCACCCTCTCACGCCGCACATCTGTTTACCGGTCATATATAATTTCTAGGCGGAGAAACCATGAGAGAAAAAAAAAAAAAAAAACCAAACCAAACCTTAACAATTCTGCGTTGTCATGGGTTCCGACGAATTGTTGTTGTTTGGGCCGCTTGGAAAACCCTCGCTACCGAAACGAGGCTCATCTGAACAAGACGTTTGGGATCTGTTTGTTTGCTGCCAGAAACCTCTCTATCCGCCTCGACCGTCCGAAGCTGTCTGTCAGTTGACAACGCCAGTCTGCAGGGACGTAGCCGGGCTCATGGGATATTTGCTTTAGAAAGGGAATGCTTGCTAGTGACTTCTCATCCTGTACATGCGAGGCGCCGACGGAAGGGCAGCAGGTAAGAAAGAAAGAAGAGAGGTTGTTGATGACCAGGTTAATCTATCTGACCACATCGCCCTTCAACCTCGTCCACCCACTTGTCCCAGGCTTTCTCGCCCTCTCGCCACCCACTACTTCTACGGCCTCTACGACCGTCCTCATACTCATGAAACTCTGCATCCCAGGATCTAGGTTTCTCCCCCCCTCCTGCCGTGCCGCCACAACTACACCGTCGTCACCCATTGCATCATCTACAGACCATGCGTCGGCATTCAGAACCTCCCACTCCGCATTGGCAACCTCGCTTAGGAGCTTCCCTTTCAGTCTATCGACCAGCTTCATGGGACTGGTAAGTTTCCAGCTTCGGATCAGGTCGGTGCCTTCTGCACTGCCCAAGAACGAATGTGCCGTTCCGTGAGAATATGTTCCCATCGTTACAAGAGGTATCCTGCCCCTATCGCTCTCTCCATCCGTATCTCGGCCTCCCTTTGTAGGTGTGCTCTGGTTAGAAGCTGCCCTGCTGCTCGGAGCAGGCCTAGCCTTAGGACCGATAAGCAGGTTGTAGAGATTTCTGCCGATGTTGCATACATCTTCAAAAGTGCTGTCCTCTCCCACGGGTATGCCTTGACTCTTGCAGAGCCAAGCTATATTGTATGCGAGGAGGGTGACCCCTTCAAGGAAGAGTCCGTAGCCAGACGGATCCTCTGTTGCAAGTAGTGGGAGGGGTTTCTTGATGAATAGTGGCCGTGGATGAGGATGGTTTAGTGGCTCCGAATGCCGTGACGCGGTTGGGCTTGTGTTCGAGGAATGATTCGGCGTCGTGCCAGGAAATGGCACATCCGTGTGTTTGTATGATGAGGCAACTGGGAATATGGTGGGAAGTGGGTAATCTCGATGAGGGAGTGTTATCTCGGCGGGCAGTCGAATGGCTAGATAGTGTGTAGATAGCATCAACAGGTGCACGATATGTGACAAAGCTGTTGAGATTTGGGCCGGACTCGCAGCTATCCATTGGTCAGTGACATATCTGACTTGCTCAAGGATATCTCACTATTCAAAGATCTCAAGTCCACGATACCTATCCCGCCGATCCTGTATTCTTCGCCCCCAGTGTTCTTTCTCGCCCTCTTGAGCCCGTACAGTTTGGCTGCCTCGCCACAGAGGAAAATTCTGGATGATGCAGTAGTAGCATGCCCTTGATTCCACTTGTACTTGATCATTCGGATTGCCTTCTCTACATCTTCGGTCTGTCGAGCTCTCCGAGTATCAGCCCCATTTGACGCTGACGCCAAATCCGACTTTCTGCGATTCACAGCTGCCTTGCTTTTGGCCATCTCCTCCCGGGCCAGCTCGACCTTTGCCCGTAGCTCATCTGCCCTCGTAATAATCTGCTGCGTCCTGTCTACAATCTGGTCTCGCTCGGCTGAGAGGGAAACAGCATCGATAGCAGTCTTCGGCGGTCGTTTATCACGTTCCGCTTTGTTACTCGAGATAAGGCCGGTAATTTGCGAGTTCAGTTCGTCATTCTGGAGCAGGACTTGAGCGTTCCGAATTCTCGAGCCGTAAAGTTGATTTCGCGCATCGGTTGGGCATAAGAAATGCAACTTCTTTTCGCCTTGTCCACCACCACGGAAGCAGATGTCACACTGCATTTCCCGGACGGCTGAAGGCTTCGTCAGACTGACTGAAGCCTACCAGAAATGCTATCGTTTCGTATCGTCCGAGGTAATGGGTGCAAGACTTGCGCGGTCAAATCGACGCATATCGCAAAGTTGGTCAGGAATGGGTGGCAATAGTAACTATAGACGGCATGGGGTTCATCTTGCAAATGACTCGAACTAGAGACAAGGCCGATTCACATTGTCTGAGTTGGATCGAGGACCTCCCGTTCGTTGTCTTATCGCGCTCGCTTGTCTTATCGCAAAATGTCACGTGTATTGGCGGAAATGTCGCGCTCAAAAGATTGTCTGCCTACAGGTCACAAGACGCGTTCTGCTAATTCTGTCGACAACGTGTTAGAACGAGTCTACACAACCTCCACTTCTCCTCCCAGCTTTCTCGATGTCTTCATCTCCCCCCGAAACCCCTTCTAAGCCACGCCCAGCCAACAAAGCTAGAGCTCTGATGGCAGCTGGCCCATCCAAAGGTGTTCATCAGGCAGCAATGAAGCCACCCGAGTTGGAAGTTCGAGAGGCTGCCGGAGCGATTGCTCAAGTTCTTTCGTCCACCCCTCCAAAGCCAGAACCCACCTCAACTGCTTCGAAGGACAATAATCCTGTGGGGATGAACGGCCGAGCGGAGCGCGAGTGTGGTAACCATGAGCACGAACATGAGCATGAGGAGTCTAGTCACACAGACGAGACGGAATTGATCGAAGAGAATATCAATGGGGAGCTGGAAAAGCTAGACTGGTTTGAATTTGAAAAGCGGTACGCCACGGAGATAAGACAGCTGGACGACGATGAAGAGGCGACAATGGAGAAGGTTGACAAGCTTGCTGATGTGAGTGATCGCTGCCTTATTTTCACCAATCACCAATGCGTTCCTAATGCAATTGCATAGGCATTCTACCTTTGGGGTCGAGCAGGGTCTTATCGTGACAACGAAAGAATATCCAAGAGGTAATTGAGGTCAGCTTCTCCCACGGAGTACATCTTCTAACATTGAAAAGACTGAAAACCCGCATAAGATTTACCGAGATTGCTGAGTCTTCCTTAGAGGAGAAAAAAAATCACTGTGAGTGTGTACTCCGGAGGCACGAAAATGGCTAATAGCAAACAAGATGTGCAAGTTGTCGATGCCTTCCAAAATGCCATGAAATTGCTTCGCGGCCAGAGGTGATGATGCATGGCGCTGAGCGATCTTGTCGAGCCCAGGTTACCTGAATTACGAGTGTACCGTTTGCTATTCTAAGATCGGAAGCGATTGTTATTCCCAGGAGTTCGGAATCACACGAGCAACTGTATGTTCACTGCTTTGTAACTAATCGAGATACCCTGTTTCGTGAGTTCTGTATCCACCATGACGCCTCTATAGGGTCATACTCAGCTCTGGCAGGTTCTGGTGATGTTGGAGCTCGCAGTAATTCCAGTTTCAGCCCATTTTGTGACCTTCATAGCCTCTGACTTCAAGTCGCTATGCTCGACAATGACTTTGGACAGGCCATTGCTAATTCATACAGAATGCCCTCTACAAGTGAGCGTCTTGCAGGCATTCTGGGCACGTCGGAGCCATGTTCACCTGAGACACGATGCCGCCCGGGCCTCTTGGATGTTTCGCATCCTGCATTCCTCAAGAACCAAGGTCCCCGGTGATCTTGCCTTGAAAATATCAATCATGTTGTTGTTCTTTTTCCACACGGGCGGGACTCCAGGCCGTGGCTTTCCAGATGCATTCCGTGAAGTGTGATCCGGCTTGCGCATGGAGGGGTCACCCGACATTATTGTCTCAGAATTTTGATCCGACAGTGTGTTTCACACCTTCTGCTCATCTTCTACTCTTCTGTAATGCTCTTTGTTTTTCTTACAGGTGATTCATTCGAAGCGCCCAACAACGTGCGGTTAAGCTCGCTTAAATGTAGTAGTTCACGCTCGAAGCCTTTGGAATCCTCCGGAGAAGTATCTGTCCAACAATGTCTGTTTAGGCGATTTTAGAAGAATCCAGCAGAGATACATCGTTTTACATCATATGAATCCTTGGTGGTCATCGAACGGTGGGTCAACGCTCCTTCTCATGCTCTCGTCTTCACTTACGTACCAGGACGCTGAAGGATGTAAGCGAGGAGACAACCTTTACCACATGCATGAGAGCTTGGGTAGTCGACTCAACATTTAATTTTTCTTTGCTCTCGAGGCTCTTGGTGCCAAATTTGTATATCGCAGCTACTTCTGTGGGACTGCTCATCATCCATGGGCATGATTGGCGGTAATGACTTTGTATCTTGCTTGAGCCGCAAACTTCAGGTACTGTGTAAAAGTTAAGTCAACAGACTTGCCCCGTATCCATTTCATTTCATTTCACTTTCTAAATCATTCTGGTTACGGGAAAGTCTCTGCTCTTAATGTAAGGAGTTGTTGTCTCTGTCTGTTGTTGGTTTTTCCAACTCCGACTCGAGCAGTCCTTGGATGATGTGACCTTCTGGAGGTACATCCCAAAATTCGCTCCGTGCTTTGCTTGACAATGGTAGATTATGTCCAGACGCAAGATCTGTCGGCATGACGCTCAAGGTACGGAGAAAGACTGCATTTTTTTCGCCAGCGTCTTATACAGCACAAAATATTGTTCCGATAAAGACCTTCCGCGCCGCTTGACGGACAGATATTCAGTCGGGCCTCGCATCGCGATGCACTCGCCGGCGTTACACAGCAAACACTCATCGGTGGCGACAACACACATAAGCGTCGTTGTCATTGGATCTGGGAGACGCAGTGCGGACAATACCGTATTGATATGGAAGCCAACCACGCCAGCTGAGGCATGTGATCTCTCCAACATCTGACATCGGGAGCAGATAATTTCTTTGATGAGTGGCGTGAGTATTGTCTATCATTCCAGTATCACAACATATGTCGGAGTCAACAGAGGAAGTGCCGAGACGGATTCGAGTGGTTTCGTTTGTTTGGCCTTCGCACGGCCTGCAGCCTGGTTCAGACGAGACATCGAACCACAAATGTATATAGGGAACTCTGCCGGGCCTCAGGTCAGCCTCTCGCATTAAACTTCTTGATATTTCCATCGCCCCTTAACGAACGTACCCAGTGAGGTACATCAGAAATCAATCAGCGCTTTACACGATCAGTCACTGCTGCCAACATGGGCTTGCTTAGCCATACCTCGAAAGCTACTCTCACGGAGAAGAACCTCCCCGATCAAACGGGCAAGGTAAGCTCTTCCTCCATGGCCGCATCTCCAGAGCGTTGAATCTCGCCAATGCTCATCATGTTCACAGGTATTCATCGTCACCGGCTCATCGAGCGGTATTGGCAAAGACCTCGCCGAGATTCTCTACGCTCACAACGCGAAGATCTACATCGCCGCTCGCTCAGAGGACAAGGCCCAAAAGGCGATAGAAGAGCTCAAGTCCAAGCACAAGGACTCTAAGGGGGATCTGGTCTACCTCCACCTCGACCTCGACGACCTGACGACCATCAAAGCCTCGGCCGAGACTTTCCTCGCCCGCGAGAAGTGCCTGCACGTGCTCTGGAACAATGCGGGCGTGATGAGACCGCCGCAGGGCAGCCAGACGAAGCAAGGATACGAGCTCCAGATCGGCACCAACAACGTCGCGCCCTTCCTGTTCACGAAATTGCTCACGCCACTGCTGCAGGCCACGGCCAAGACATCGCCTCCCGACAGCGTCCGGGTCGTGTGGGTTTCCTCCTCGGCCGCGAAGAACTTTGCGCCGGCCGGAGGGCTGGACGTCTCCAACCTGGACTACCACGTCGACAAGGGCGCGTGGCAGAAGTATGGCATCAGCAAGGCCGGGAACATCTACCACGGCAAGGAGTACGCGCGGCGATTTGGAAAGGACGGCATCATCAGTGTTGTGAGCACCTCCCTCCCTCCCTCGCTCGCCCCCTCTGCTTCACCAACACACATCCATGGCTACGGGAGATGGAGAGACCACCCCGCTACTAAGCTAACCTTTGCCCTTTGCGAAAGAGTCTTGATCCTGGGCTCTTGAAGACGGACCTGTACAAGCACCTTCCGTGGTGGCAGGGCGGCGCCATCAACATGCTGCTGAGTGACCCCATCTTCGGCGCCTACACCGAGCTCTTCGCGGGCCTGTCGACTGACATCAGCATGAAAAACAACGGCTCTTTTGGTACGTGCTGCCCTGCCCTTTCCTGCCCTACTATCACGAGTTCGTGTGACGCTTAGAATGGAACACATCACTGATCAGATCGATCGATCGATTGCAGTCGAGCCCTGGGGCAAACTGGTCAGCGCCAGGAAAGATATCGAGCAAGGGAGCAAGCCGAAGGAGGAGGGAGGAACCGGAGTCGCCCAGGACTTCTGGGACTGGACCGAGGAGCAAGTTGCGCAGTACTTGTAGGTTTGTTTGTCCCAAGCCGGTCAGGATCAGACACCAACGAACGAAACGAACTTTTTCCTTTCTGTGCAGCGCTGCCGAGTTTTTAAGAAGGTTGAGCGTGATGATATACTTTGCAGCGTGCGACGCGGGCGGTTTTCACAGCTCATTTTGTTTCCTGTTTTCCGTTTTGGTATGTCCATGGCTACACTCATGTTATGAGAATAATAAGGATGGATCGACCGATATGAAATATTAATTTTATGCTTTTTCTAATACCCAGGTATGCTTACTTGCCCCGATATATGTGTTTAAACTATTGTTGATCTTCCCCATCGTTCAGACTTCTGTGTACTTCCGAGGCCCATTTTCGAATCACACGCTTCACGATTTTCTGATTCTGCTTGACCGTCGATGCGTGGTCTATCTTCCTTGACTTATCATAAGAGCCAGCGTTACTCGCACAAGGGGCGCGGAGGAATGTCTATTTTTCAATTTTTTTTTCTCTGGAATAGCTGAGCCTCTGTCTGACCTGATCACCGAAGAGTAAGCCTTGTATAAACCACCATGCCAGAAAGGACCAGTACCACTACCCCGTTCATAAGTCTCTACTCATAGACATGCACCATTCGTTTTGCTTCGCAACAACTGTGGTTCCTTACGACTGGAGACAAAAATTTGGGAGCCAGTCTGGATGAACTCCAAAGATACCAGTAAAGAGTCGATTAGGTCAGATAATTTTCTGCAACCAGTAACAGGGAATCGCTAGAAGTGTCAACCGAGAGAGCTGCATTAGTCTCTTTGGCTTTTGGACCATTATAAAACATGAGATTCGGGATGGGAAGGAGAACTTGTAAAGTGAAGTTTTCTCCTGCAAATTTTGTTGGTTGGCCGAGAATGAATGGACTCATGGAGATGCGAGCGATACGGGAGAGCATCACTCTGTTCTATGCTTATAATATGGTTTCCCACTGCGCAATGGCAGGACCTAATTGTTCCAAGGCGACGCTGGTGTGAATATAGCAGAAAAAAGTATGCCGTCGAGTCGTAACATCCCAGGAGGTGGCCGATATGCGCTGTAGGCGTCTGAGTTCCACAGTGCGCTTCTCCGCATCGATGCCGAAGTTCGGACTGCTGATTCTAGCCCAACCTGGAATGTATCCATTCTTCATATTTTCCTCCTCGATTCTCCGGAGACAATCGATGACCAGACCAGCGAAAACGCTGTCCCAAACCCCCTCTCTTCTTGGGTATGTCCGAAGAAGCGAAATGACCCTGAGTCGAATGGTGGGATCGCGGCATTTCTGACCGGTGAACCAAAAAGGGATGATAATCGCCGAACCAAAGCATGATTTGGGAGCCATCGAACCGCGAGAGCATGTCAAAAATTCATGGGATAGGTCGACTATATCCATGCAGACCTGTTGATGATTGTCGAAGACCAACTCGTCCTGTGCGAGAGACTTGACGATCCCCCATGAATGTAGTTTTCATTTGCAATTCGAGTGTGATCGCAGCTTTCCACTCAACAGGATTTCGGGAAGGCACCACTTGTTTTCAACGGTGTGAAAGCTAACATCCAACGGTGGAAGCTTTCTGTCAGCGTCGCTTGAGCCTGCATAATCTCTGGGGGGATGGTACTGTTCGTCGCTGCGGCGGAATAAGCTCCCGTAGGACTACTGGTTCTCGCAATGCGAGGGAGACCTTGTGAGACGAAGGTCACAGCAAACCTCACTATAGCACTGTAGTATTTCCCAGCCTCGACAAGTGTTTCAAACGTTGTTGCCATTTTCATCAGGCTCTCTGGGACACTGATTTTCAAACGGAGGAAGCGGTGTCGATACCAGCGATGGTGGAGGAAGTTCTTTCGGTGGTGCTCTTAGTTGGATGGAGAGACGCGTAAAGACATCCGACAGAATATCCTCCTCATTACTTGATGCTTGGACAGCATAACCAGGGGCGGTAGTCTCCCTATACCGTTCTTTCCACTCTTTGAGCAGACCAGCTCCGATTCGAATCTGCTGGACTGCCGCCTGATGGTCTCCCACTCAACCCTCAAACGAAAGGATAATCAGAGAAGTGATTAAGGCTGCCCTGTGGTCATTCTGCCCATCCATTTGCGCGTGCTTGAGAGCACGAATGTACTCTTTGATCGCATATTGATAGTGTGGCTTGGAGAGGCGCCGTAAGAATGATGTCCTTGCAAATGGGTTTGCCGAGAAGTCATGTCTAAAGCTCCCAGAGCAGCAAGGCCATGTTGGATCGATTCCCGAGAGTCTATTGCCTGAAGAAACATTAAACGCAAGCGCCCCATCTCAACATTCGGAAATAACTCATATGCAGTGCTAGTACTGAATACTTCAAAGTACCTAGATTCTCCTTCGACTTTGAATCGCAAGGAAGATGGCGCCTGGGAAATAATCGGGGCCATAATGCGCTCAGGCATGGGCAGAAGAACAGCAGACTGGCGTGGAAGATTCGCTCCTTTCGGGGGTGCAGACCAATTGCATTTGATGCCAGTCCTGACACATCGTGAGCATATGGGCTTCTGCTCAACGCATTTGATCTTGCGGAACCTGAAAGATGTTAGCATGATAATACAACAGTTGAAGGGGACCGACTCACTTGCAGGTCAAACAGCCACTTCCTCCGCTTGCCCATTTTCTTAGCCACTACTGATGTGGAATGCATTTCATATTGATTCTGCCTTGCCGGAAGGCTCCGTATCCGTAAATTTCGAAGTAACAAACATATTGAGAGTTGGAAGTCAAATTTTCACCGGTCGGCCATTATTTGGGTGGCCCTTCAAACCTATGAAAGGGAAGGGAAGGGGCCATTTGGACGGTCAGCTGATCGATCATCCGATGACGATCTTTTTTGAAGACGCTCCTCATCCTTCGGCTCCAAAAAGTCGTTCGTTACGACCTGTATCCCAAGATTGGTTGGAAGTTGGGAATAGTTGTACGGAATGGAGTATGTTGGACATTGTACTACAACATTGTAGTTGTACCGGTAGTACGGTAGGTTCTGCCCCTGTTACTGTACTAACTATAAGGAGGTAAGCGTGCCCGTTACTTAATTACTAATTAGCGTTTTTCTTCCATCGCCCTGGCCATCGGATCTCCGCCAGCAAGCACCGCTCGGCCATGGCTTCAATAGCCATCTCGCAGGTCTGTCACGTCTAATTATCTGTGTCTGCGGTGGATGCGGATGCTAACCTCCACTCCAGGATGACTTGTCGTCTTTCCACGCCGCGCATTTCTCGACCAGTTCTATTAATCACTTCTCCGGGCAATTCCTTGGGCCAGTGGAAGAAGAGTACCAAGAGCAAGAGGAAGAATACTATGAGGATGATGGCCTGGGCTACTATGAAGATGGCACGAAACGAACTTTGACTGATGAGCAAATCGCGATATTCAGGCATTCGGAAATCGAAGCCTTATTGAGAGAGCGACGTCACGCCGGAGAACAAAGGGTTTACATCGCGGACTACCAGACCGCGAAGGCACCTGCGAAAGACAATCTTGAAACGCAATGTAGCATGCTGGAAGATTTCGAAGACGGCGAATTAGACGACAAAGGCTCCAGCGCACCGCCCCCTCCTTCGCGACCTGGGAAGCGCATGTCCAAAAAGGAGAAAAAGATACAGAAGGCGAAGCAGATGGGTTTCTACAAGCAACACGTAAAGCCTGATCTTCGGAAGAGAACATGGGACAAGGTCGACACTGGGCTGGGGAGCTTGAGCTACGATGATGAAGATGGCACATCGAAAGCCTGTCTCACGAAACCCGCGCAGAGACGACAGATCTCATATGATGACTGATGACTGGAGACCTCGGCCTGGTATATTCTGGTGCATCCAGTGCTTGAGGACAAATCGCAATTGTGCCATGTTCAGATATTCTGCGCAGCACAGGCAGGAATGATAAGGTACGCTCCATGATTTCCTTCGTTCTCCACAATCTTCTTTTCTCCCGAAGTCAAATGATGAAATCCAAATGTATCGTCATCCTTAGTCTGAATCCCAGAAAGGCTTTATCCATCACCGTCTGTTGGGATGCATATTGCTGATCGGGTCTGTGATGAAACAACAATCTTCTCTCTGAAAGCCTTCAAGTCCGATTCCAAACCGCATGATATCATCCTATTAGAGTACGTATGTTGACTATGCACGCAGAAACTGCGAACACGAGAAAGAGCTTCAATTCAACTTGATCTTCTGTGCATCTGGACCCAGACAAAACCATCGACAGCGGATGCAAAGAATGACTAGGAAAAGCCACAACTCTTACTCGTTGAGATCAAAATCCATGGTCCACGCGGGAATTTGCCATGCTCTAACCTTCTCCGATGGTTTAGGGAGGATTAGCCGGGTCATTTTACCTTCATGGCGGGTGCCCAGTATGAAAGAGCCTCAGGCTAAAGATATGGTTCATGTGAAATCCCAAGAGAAGGGAAGTCTCAGGAACCCAAATGACTAGATAGAGGTGCACAGATATTTATTTGGCCACAAGGCTGGTGGTCAGCCTTGTGTCTCGAGTGGCTTAGATCAAGCTCTGCTCTAAATACCAATGATCCTCTCCCCTACAATATTTCTCCCGAATCTGCCCAAAATGAGTGATCCTCCTACTTATGATCAGCACTTGCTGGAACGCCTCAACGCCCTCAGAAAATCCAGTGTGGAGCTTGAGCCTTCAAAGTACGGAACTCACATATTACCCAAACACCGCGTCACATGCTGAACCTTATTAGATACAAACCCATCTCACCAAAAGTCGCAACCCCGGAATCAGATCTCTCGGCTCGTTTGAAGAGTCTACGAAATGGCACCTTATCCTCGTCACCGTCGCCATCATGTCCCTCAACGACAATGTCCATCAAAGCTACAGGGAAAGCTCCAGAAACGCTGTTCCCAGCTACACCAGCTGAAGACCCAGACCCACTCCGGGATCCGTTTGACACAGATGACAAGACTCTTGATGAGCTTCTCGCCGACTTGGGACCCGAGGATCAGTGGATGCTGAATCCAGATGATCCTAACGACATCCAAAAGCTGCTCGATGAAGCCAAGAACGCCTTACCCCGTGATGGAGAAGCCCATGCTGAAGAAGCCCAGCCCAAGGATCCCGAAGAGGTACAAGCGCGACCTGACGGCAGCTATCTGACGCGCGATCTGGATATGTCTTCTTTCGCTCTCGACGATGACGGAGTAGCTGACAAGAAGGGGGCAGCGCCGGGCAAGCAGCACAGAGATCTCGAACAGGAGTCACGTGAAGCCCAAGATATCGTTGCCAGGATGCTGGACGAAGTCAATCTGGAGAGGGCCAACGAGCCTAATGACGAACACAGGAATCCCCTTTCAGATAATTCACGAGATGAGGACCGCGAGGGAGATGAGGGAGATGAGGGAGATGAAGAAGGCAGAAGCTGCCTCGCGCTCCCCTCCGCACCATCCACCCTCCCCGAACCCATCATCTCCTCCACCTCCTCCCGGACCAGGAAATCCCTAGATTTCGAATCCGACATCGCCGCTCGGATGGCCGCTTTGCAAGGTCTGTCTGCTAACTCCTTGGGAATGCCGTCGGCGCCCACGTTTAAACCTATCGATAAGCCTGTCAAGGGGGTGATGAAGAAGCAGTTCACGGATGAGGAGGTGGATAGTTGGTGTATCATCTGCCAGGACGACGCAACGGTGAAATGTGCGGGCTGTGATGGGGATCTGTACTGCGCGAACTGTTGGAAGGAAGGACACATGGGACCCGATGTAGGACTGGAGGAGAAGAGGCATAAGTGGATGAAGTACAGGAAGCCGAATTAAGCTAAGACTTTTTTTATTTTTCTAAACCTGGGGAAATAAACAGCTTGTGGGATGGAAAACTGATTGTTGGAGGTGTAGTGTGTGTGGTATTGACTAGAATATACTTCAGACCCATATCGCCCTTCCTCACTCACTCACTCACTCACTCACTCACTCACTGTCCTCCCTACTCGATCGACATCATCGAATAGAATCTCAACCTCTCCACCCCACTCACTCATTCACCCACTCAACTCACAACTCAGAGCTCTCTCTCTCGTCTAACATCAAATCCACCCAATCGATCATCTTGAGCGCTCAGCCCTCACTTTAGACCAGCCAGCCCCTCACCGTAACTAACCAGCTCAACATCCGTCGTCTCTTTCCTCTCCTGTCCCTGCTGCTTTCCCTTCACACTTACCATACATATATAATTCATCCTTCCCCCGTTTTGAGATTTGTGCTTTCAGGCGAGGAGGAGTACGGCGGTGGAGAGAGCGATATTCGGATTTGTGGCGTTTGTTTCCAGGAAGGAGAGAGAGGGAGAGAGAGGGGGGGCAGGCCAGTCACCTCCAACTTGAAAACGGAATTGGACAGGTAAGGGCATCGCAAAACAACGCTACATTCAGCTACTACCGTTGAAACCTGGGTTCCTTATCGTACTACAGCTCGGAGGAATCCCTTGATATACCAGCAGCGCCTCCGGCCCCAGCAAAAAACCGCAACCCAATCCAGGCAATGTACAGAGAATACCAAAAATTTCACCCCTAATCCTCCATAACCTACGTTCCACCTTATTCTCGTTGAAACATCAGTCATCGCCACCGGCATCATCACCGTGGATCCCGCGCCCCGCGGCACCGGATCTTGGCTTCTTCGTCTTGCCACGGATATCCTGCCATGTGGCACCGAATCGTCTGCCAGTGCTGGCAAGTAGACCTTCCTCCTCGTCTGCTTCGGCGTCTTCGTCCAGTTCGCTCAAATTAAGCTTTGGAGTGCGGAAAAGCGACGTGATGAATACAACCAAGAAGACAGCGAGAAAGGCGAACTGCGCCCAGAAAGTTAAAGCACCAAAGAACGAGAAGTTGATGGTCACTCTATTGAGGAAGGTCGTGACTACGGTAGGCGTGCACACATTCTTGGATCCTTCGCCAGATGACAGTTCAGAGCAAGGCTTGACAAGTTCTGGGTGTCTAGAGCAGTCGGGTTGCTGATCTGGGAACCGGGTGGGGTTGCTGCAGAAGGTCTGGGCGCCGTAGATGGCGTATTGAGGAGCGACCATCATGGTGATTGAATAGTTGATTGCCAACATGATTAATGTCAACATCACTGTGGCGACCAGCATGGCCTGAGGAGAGCTGTGCCCCTTTCGGATCTCAAAGAGTCTGACCCAGAGGAAGCGGATACCGATCGAGGCAATGCCTGCAACTGAGCTGCTGAAGAAGAAGAGAACCAGCAAGAGCATGAGAACATAATCAACCGGGAAGACCTTCGATGCTTGGACAAAAATCCAGTTCATGGGCTGGAAGACATTGATACTGAGTTATGTTAGCAGAGAGTTACAATAAAAGCCCTGAGAAATCATCACCTTCCGAGAATGTAGCCACAGTGCCGTTTGCAGATTGAGTTCTTGGCCTTGTCGATTCCCGTGATCAACATAGACACCCAGATGACGATGGCGAGAACCAGAAGCAGGATTCCACCGATGAGCTTCAAGGGGCGGAATACTGCGCAGACTTTGGTCCAACATTTGACAATAAAGCTTTTCCCTTCACCCTGAGCTTCAGCGGCAAGGCGTTCCCGGCGGACCAATGTACGTTCTTCACGAGCCAGTGCCTCGAGTTCTCTTTGATCTTTGGCCGGCATCTCACCACCACGGCCTACATGGCGACCTTCGAGTTGGCGCTGCCGTTCTCTGTTCTGCTCCAGAGCTGTTGCTGTGGTCTCCGATAGTTGTGGCGCACTGATCGAGGGAGCGGATTTGATGAACGAAATTGGCAAAAGTGCAAACCCAGCGGCAGTGTACAAGACGTAGACCAGAGTCCCCAATGATATGAGCAGTCCCAATGCAAAGGTTAATGCTCGCTCCCCGTGGTTCTCCACTAAAAGGCGTTGGAAGTAATCGAGGTCGTAATGTGCTCCTTTGCGGTCCTTTGCGACGGGTACGAAAAATCCAACGAGGAACAGGATTACGACGAGGGCGAAAAAGATTAGGGTATACTTCAAGGCGCCCCAAAATCTCTGGCTAAAAGTTTGCATACCTTCCTCCGCATCGACGTCGTCATACTCCTCGTAGAGAAAGTATGTAAAGGGGACCACTAGCAAGCACAGGATAGCATCGAGACTGTAAAGGCTATAGTACACAATCTTGAGCGTGTACAGAATGTTGTGTACAGCTTCGGGGGTTGCCCAATCCTTCTTGGCCCCGAGTTTGGTGGACGTTGTGTGGCTGACGAGCGCGATATCGACTGGGAGGAGGAGAACTGTTGCCAGCAAGGAGGTCAAAGTGATGATAGTGACGGTTGAGATGAGCGCAGAGCGATCCCTTGGGGTTTGGTAGGTGTAGGTGAAGATGGCAGCGATGAGCGCCACGAGGGCGACCGCAACGGCGTAGGCCACCCAGATGAATGCCATCTGAATGAGAGCCATGCTGAGTGGTTTGGGGGGCTGTCCGGGGAGGTTGAGTAATTGTCGCGGAAGGAAGTGGTGTATTGTTTTGGTGTTTTGGTTTTTTGGTGGACTGACAATGGTGTGCGTTAGCTGTGGTCGCAATGAAGGCAGTGGTTGTAGGTTGTAGGTTATAGGTTGCAGGTTGCAGTTTGGTTATACGGAGGTTACACAGGCTCGACTCACGAATTTCTCGAATGGATCCTGTCCCTTTCTTCGGTATCTCAAGCAAGCAAACAATACAATGAAAGAAAGGAAGAATGGGCGCCTCTGCTGCCTTGAGTGGAGTGAGAAGTATGTCGTCGTCGATCAATCTGACGTCGAGGTCGGCGTTGGTGTCGCAAGCCAGAAAATAAGTCAAGTCAGTAAGGTAGGTAAACAAGGATGGAGCTCCCCAATCCCTGCTGCCGCATGTTCGACCACCAGCGGGCGCTAGCGGAGATGGGTTTGGGCCAAACGCAAACCACAACTCAAGAGTCTCAATATAATAAAATAAACAACTTCAACCTCAACCTCAACCTCAACTTCACGTCCAACTTCCGCCGTCAACTTCAATAACGAACACAGTCCTTTTCCCACCTACCGCCGACTATATTTCTAATCGCAGCACCCTGAGCGCCCCGAGGAGACGATGCTCACTGCTCTCCAGCTGCCATAATGCAATGCTATACGGAGCTGACACCTCCTACAGCTGTCGAACACTCATTGAGCCTTCCATTCGTGTCTGCCGGCGCGCACAACCTCATCGTCGCCAAAACTTCTTTACTCCAAGTCTTCACCACCAAGATCACCTCAATCGAACTCGGGATCGAGGAAGGCGCCTCGAAGCAGAACGACAAATGGGATCCATCGCTGGACAATGATGGCTTGGATGCTTCATTCATTGGCGCAGACTCCCTGCTACGCCCGGATAGAGCTCGGAGGACAAAGCTCGTACTTGTGGCCGAATACACACTGTCTGGGACTATCACATCCTTGGCAAGGATCAAGACACTCTCCTCGAAATCTGGCGGCGAGGCGCTCCTGGTAGGCTTTCGCGATGCGAAGCTCAGTCTGGTGGAATGGGACCCCGCGAGGCCAGGAATCTCAACCATTTCGATACATTATTATGAACAAGATGAACTCCAGCGAAGCCCATGGGCGCCGAATCTCAAGGAATCCGTCAACTACTTAATTGCTGATCCTGGTAGCAGATGTGCTGCGCTCAAGTTTGGAGGGAGAAATTTAGGCATCATCCCCTTCAAGCAAGATGATGAAGATGTTAATATGGATGATTGGGACGAAGAGATAGACGGCCCTCGACCAGCCGACAAAGTGATCACGAAAGCAACCAACAGCTCCAATGATAAGGAAACCCCCTATGGGCCTTCATTTGTTCTTCGCTTGGCCACTCTTGACCCCAATCTCATAAATCCAATCCACCTTGCCTTTCTTTACGAGTACCGAGAACCAACTTTTGGTATTCTATCATCTTCGCAGATGCCGGCTTCATCTCTACTGTTCGAGAGGAGAGACCATCTGACCTACATGGTATTCACACTGGATCTCCAACAAAGAGCGTCGACGACTATCATGTCTGTAACGGGCTTACCTTATGACCTGTTTGAAGTTGTGCCGCTTGATGCACCTGTTGGCGGAGCCCTGCTGATAGGAACCAACGAATTGATACACATCGATCAAGCGGGCAAAGCTAACGGGGTTGCAGTCAATGTCTTCGCTAAACAATGCACCTCTTTTGGTCTCGTTGACCAGTCAGGTCTAGACATGCGCTTGGAAGGCTCCAAGATTGAGCAGCTATCTATTCAAAGCGGAGAAATGATCATCTTTTTGCAGACTGGAGAAATTGCTATCCTGAGTTTTCATATGGATGGCAGGTCGGTATCCAGTCTGAGCGTAAGGCGGGTATCAGCGGAGGCAGGTGGCTCAGTCATTCCCGCTCGCGTGTCGACTCTGAGTCATATTGGCCAGAATACCCTCTTTGTGGGAAGCGCATGTGCAGACTCGATGGTTCTCGGTTGGAGCAGAAAATCGAACCAAGTGTCCCGGCGAAAGCCTCGAGTGGAGGTCATTGAGGATGCCGATGACGCTTCCCTTGACGAACTAGACGACGAGGACGATGATGCCGACGATGACTTGTACGGTGAAGGCCCTTCGATCATACAAGATGCCACAAACGGCGTAGCCAAATCGGATACCGTAAACAGCAAGGCCGGAGACTACGTGTTTCAAGTGCACGACTCCTTGGTCAATATTGCCCCTATCGTGAATATCACTTTTGGGAATGCAAGCTTGTCCCAAAATGAAGACGAGAAGCTGGATTCGGTAGGCGTCAGAGGTTATCTAGAACTTGTTGCATCCGTAGGCAAGCAGAGAGCGGGAGCTTTAGCAGTGATCCATCAGAACATTCAACCCAAAGTTATTGGTCGTTTTGAATTTCCTGAGGCTCGTGGTATTTGGACCATGTCTGCAAAAAGACCCGCAGAGAAGGGCCTTGAGGCCAAAAAAGAAAAGTCCTCCACCAGTGGCGACTACGCTATTGATGCACAGTATGACAGGTTGATGATTGTTTCCAAGGCACTTTCCGACGGTACAGAAACGTCCGATGTATATGCATTGACGTCTGCCAATTTCGAGGCTCTGACAGGAACCGAGTTTGAGCCTGCTGCTGGATCGACAATTGAGGCCGGAACACTGGGAAACGGCAACCGTGTGATACAGGTGCTCAAGTCTGAGGTTCGAAGTTACGACGGCAGTAAGTCTTACCCCCTCTTTTCACCCTCTCCTGGTTCCCGATTCTGTGACAAATGGAGAGCTTCTCACTGCAGCTTCTTATGTGGATTTTCGGTATTCCCGGGTTGTATGGCTGCTTTCTGGGGTGCTGTTGGGAAGCAAAACATGTCCTATAGCATCAATGAAAGCGTTCACTATACTTTCTATATATTCGTGCCTACATCGTGCTCTTGTTGCGAAGCTATGGTCAGGTCGTGGAGCCAAAAGCTGACCCACTGAACTCATTAGATCTCGGCTTAGCCCAAATATTACCCATGTACGATGATGACACGGGAGCCGAGCCAAAGATTGTGAGCGCGAGCTTCGCGGACCCATACCTGTTGCTGTTCAGAGATGACTCGAGCATCTTCGTCGCCCAAAGCGACGAGAACAATGAATTGGAGGAGATTGAGCGGGAGGACGATGCGCTCCTCGCTACTAAGTGGTTGACCGGTTGCTTGTATGCCGACTCGAGAGGTGTTTTTGCCCCAGTTCAATCTGATAAGGGGCAGAAGGTGGAAGAGAATGTGATGATGTTCTTGCTCAGTGCTGGAGGAGCTTTACACGTGAGTCTTATAAGCAGCCTCCATGATCCACAAATGACTAAGTACTCTAGATCTACGCTTTACCCGACCTCTCGAATGCAGTCTATGTTGCTGAAGGGCTCTGTTTTGTACCCCCGGTACTTTCAGCTGCGTATGCTGCTAGGAGATCGGCCGCTCGCGAGACGATCACAGAGCTGGTCGTCGCAGACCTGGGCGACGAGACTGCAAGGTCGCCATACCTCATCGTAAGTTTGGCTACTCATATTTTCAGTTGAAGCTAACAATCTGCAAGTTACGCCCATCCACTGATGATCTCACAATTTACGAACCATTTCATACCAGCTCCGAGTCCTCCGGTGGCCTCGCATCTACACTGCAATTCCTGAAAATACATAACCCTCATCTAGCACGAAACCCAGACGTCTCGGCCGCGGAAACTGCGGACGGCATTCAAGAGACTAGAGACGAGCCAATGCGAGTCATCTCGAATTTAGGCGGCTACTGTACAGTATTTCTCCCCGGTGGCTCGCCGAGCTTTATCATGAAGAGCGCCAAGAGTACTCCCAAAGTCATCAGTCTGCAAGGTCTCGGTGTGAGAGGCATGAGCAGCTTCCACACAGAAGGTTGCGATAGAGGCTTCATCTATACGGATGTCGATGGCCTAGCCCGAGTTTCACAACTCCCCAAGGATACGACGTTCGCCGAACTGGGCGTCTCATTACAGAAGATCGAGCTTGGGCAGGAAATCCACGGAGTGGCATACCATCCGCCGACGGAGTGCTACGTTGCTGCTACCAGTACCGAAGCCGAGTTTGAGCTGCCAAAAGAGGATGACAACCACCACCCCCAATGGGCCAAGGAGCAAATAACCTTCAAGCCAACGATGGAGCAAGGCCGCTTGAGACTGATCAACCCAGTCAATTGGACCGTCGTCGATGAAGTTGAGCTGGATCCCTTCGAAGTCATCATGTGTATCAAAACTCTTATCCTCGAGACCTCTGAAATCACCAACGAGCGAAAGCAACTGATCGCTGTCGGTACCGGTATATCTAAAGGCGAAGACTTGGCAATCAAGGGTCGTATCCACGTCTACGATGTAATCAACGTCGTACCAGAGCCCGACCGGCCAGAGACCAACAAGAGGCTGAAGCTGATCGCCACAGAGGATATTGCGCGAGGAGCAATTACCTGCATCTCCGAAATCGGTACCCAAGGATTCATGATCGTCTCCCAGGGGCAAAAATGTATGGTCCGCGGTCTCAAAGAAGACGGCACGCTCCTCCCAGTCGCGTTCATGGACATGAACTGCTACATAACCTCCATCAAGGAGCTCAAGGGTACGGGCATCTGCGTCTTCTCTGACGCCGTCAAAGGCGTGTGGGTTGCTGGCTATACTGAGGAGCCGTACAAGATGATGCTGTTCGGAAAATCAGCCAAGAATATGGAGATCATGCAGGCGGATCTGTTGCCGGATGGGAAGGAGCTGTACATCGTGGCGGCGGACTCGGATTGCAATTTGCACATCATGCAGTTTGATCCCGAGCGTAAGTCACCCTCATCCCCCCATGTCTCTTTTACTAAACAGAGATGGCTTGATAGACCCGAAGTCTCTGCAAGGCCACCTCCTCCTGCACCGCTCCACCTTCGCTCTCGGCGGCCACCTCCCCACGAGCATGACCCTCCTCCCGCGCACCAAGAGCGCAACGCTCCTACCACCCTCCCCCGACGCCATGGACACCGCAGCCGACGCCACGATCCCCGAGCACGAAATCCTGATCACCTCTTCCACCGGCTGCATCTCCCTCCTCACTCCGCTCTCCGAAGCCCAATACCGTCGTCTCAGCACGCTGACTAGCCATCTGATCAACACGCTGTATCACGCGTGCGGGCTCAACCCGAGGGCGTACCGCGTCGATAAGGATGCGCCGGAGGGCATGGTCGGGAGTCGAACGGTCATCGATGGGAACATCCTGATGAGGTGGATGGAGCTCGGGAGTCAGCGGCGGGCGGAGGTCGCGGGGCGGGTGGGGGTGGATGTTCTGGAGGTTCGCGAGGATCTGGCGAGTTTGATGGGGGGATTGGGGTACCTCTGATTTAGGATCTAATTGCGTCGCTGCTGGGGGCAGATGGGATGAGTGGACGGCCACCTACCTACCTGGCTTGTATTTATAGGTTTGCGACGAGGGGATGCTGAATGCTATGGACAAGATAAAGGTCTCTCTCTCTCTTTTTTTGTTTTTTTTTAGGGCTATGGTCTTTGCTCTTGCTTTGGGGAAGGTGAGAAGGGTGATCGATCGCATCTCAATATCGAACGGTCAAGTATCATATCCCTCCCTCCCTCCCTCTCTC